GTTCTTATTTCTATGCTTGTGCCTGCTTTCTCTTCACCTTTGAGAGCATTTGATTGTCAACCGGATAGAGGTTTTTGAAGAAGCTTTACAGAAAAAAAATTGCTATAGTTATGGAGATGTTGAAGGAGATTTTTCTGATTATAGTGAAAGCGGTTCTATTCAAAGAAGGATCCTTAAAGAACTATTGAGAGATAAAGAAATAGAGAAAATAATTTTTGCTGAAAGGAAGGCGTTTCTTTCAAAGCGCAAGGAACTGATTTGTATAGGATTTTAATGAGAGTTCAGAGAAGGGATGCATTGAAAGTTGATTTGTGCTTCAGTAAAAGTTGTCTAGGAGGGACAGATAGCTTTTGGAAAACTAGCTTTCGTTTCATTTTTGTATAATAACAATTTCCCCTCCATTTGAATTTTCACAGCCGTCATCGTTTCCATCTACGAGGATCCCGTACAGCCCCAGCAGGCCGCTTCCGTTGTAGAGAAACTCGGAGACTATCTGATTACTTGCGGGTACTAGATAGGAGGGAGAATAGATCAACAACACAAACAACCACAACACCCCCAAAACAAAACAAAACAAAACAAAACAAACTGCACCTCCATCAAAAACATAGGAAACACAACAGCAACAACCAGGAAACAGCAACAACAGCAGCAACTTTGATATGAAGATGGAGAGAGGAAAATGCTAATAAGAAAAAAGTAAAAAAATGGAAGTAATTATTAATATTTAAAATATGGAGTAAATTCCCCCCCACTAAACGGCCAAGGCGGAGGATATTTTTGGGGAACGAGAGGATGCAAGACCCGCAAATTCTGTTCTGAAAACGCAAATAAATTACCCGCAAAAATCAACAACAATAAACTACAACAAAAAAAATTATAAATTTCTCTGCATTATTATGATTAAAGAAAAACTTTTCGTTTATACGATAAAATAAAATATAAAACAAAAAACATTAAGAATTCCAGTCCTCATCTAAAATCCGAAAGCTTTGGAACAAACGTAGAATTGTAAAACAGAAAAGAAAGAAAGAAAGAACGAACGCAAAGCAACGCAACGCAAAAGCAAACAAAAAACAACAATTTTTGAAACATTTTTTGTATAGCAATATATACACCCAGTGGTATATATATATATATGCAATGGTATATATATATATATATATATCTGTACACAGCCAGAAATGAAGAATAAAAAGAGAGTGAGTGAGTGAGAAAAGATATCGGAGAAGAGAGAGACTTCTGAGGGTAGGCAGAGAAGAGCAGAGAGAACTCACGAGCAAAACCGAAATAATCGAAAGTAAATATATATCTATATATATATTTATATATGTAAACTATTTGGAGATCCATGCAGATGCTCTATTTATACATGTGTGTGCGTGTGTAGTGTGGTATGCACGTGTGTGCGGTGTGTGAACACTTTTTATACGATTGCGAAACTTACATAAAATAAAGAATCTAGATTCAGTTTTCTCAATTCCCAATCCCCCAAACCACGCCATTTTGCCATAAGAAATGTCTATGTATAGGGTATAGGATCTTGATCATAATCACACATTCGCTCGCTCTCTCTCCATCTCTTTTTCTATACATCTCTTCTATTTTTTTTTTGTGCGCATTGCTTTTCATGTTTCGAAAATCCTATCATACTACATCATACATAACATACAAAAGAAAAACTTATATGTAGACCGTTAAGTGCAGTGTGCAGCCCTGGGGTATGCGTTGCCCAACACTGAACCGGAGGAACATTCATTGCTGAAAGTGCACCACTGAGGAAGAACAGAATTCGGCAGTTAAAGCGCCATTAAAACTCTCTTACCATACGAATAACGTAACAAACAATGCATGTGTAACATTTAAACATACGATTACCATACTACAACAAATCATACATAAATTAATGTGGCTTTTCCAGACCCTCCCCAACCACAAATACTAGCCCCATACTCTCTCCCTCTCCCTTACCCTTGCCCTTAGCCCCCCCCTTCCCAACGAGTCCAAAAAACACACAGAACAGACATTTTTCGTACAAGCAAAGGAAACGTGAAGTAAAAACCGAATGCATAAATATATGATTATAAAACATAAAAAACAACAAAAAAACAAAAAGCAACATATATAATACGATACTTTAATACTATTGAAATAAAAAACTCGAGTGAGACAAACAAAAATTCTCCTCATAAAAATTAAAACAAAAAATATGTGTTTTTTCTTGGTTTCTTTCAGATTTGCTATCGAAGGGTATCGATAGATTGGCGAACTTTTTGAGCTTTTATTGCTAATATTATCTAAAAAATTTATGATTCTTTGTGGCTATGAATTCCTTCGCATTCTTTTATTAATTTTCCAGGTCTGCTCAAGATACGGGTATCGTATAATCGCTAGATCTTTGAGCTCTTGAGGTGTTATTTCCAGGGCCTTAAAAATATGTGATTTATACTGGCTTTGATTGATTGGCATTGGATTGCACTGTCTATTTTTGGTATAGTCTTCTTCATTTTTAGGTCTACTTTCGATACGATTATCGTAAAATGGATAGATCATTGAACCTTACCATTGTTATCGCGTGAAAGAGTGAGAGTGAGAGAGTGAGAGAGAGAGAAAGAGTGAGAGAGAGAAAGAGTGAGAGAGAGAGAGAGAGAGAGAGAGAAAGAGAGAGAGAGAGAGAGAGAGAGAGAGAGAGAGAGAGAGAGAGAGAAGAGAGAGAGAGAGAGAGAGAGAGAGAGAGAAGAGAGAGAGAGAGAGAGAGAGAGAGAGAGAGAGAGAGAGAGAGTGAGAGAGAGTGAGAGAGAGAGTGAGAGAGAGTGAGAGAGTGAGAGAGAGATGGAGAGAGAGAGAGATGGAGAGTGAGAGAGATGGTGAGTGAGAGAGAGAGAGAGAGAGAGAGAGAGAGATGGAGAGAGAGAGAGAGAGAGAGAGAGATGGAGAGTGAGAGAGAGAGAGAGAGAGATATGGAGAGTGAGAGAAAGAGAGAGAGAGATGGTGAGTGAGAGAGAGAGTGAGAAAGAGTGAGAGACAGTGTGAGAGAGAAAGTGAGAAAGAGTGAAAAAGAGTGAGAGAGAGGGAGAGAGTGAGAAAGAGTGAGAGAGAGAGTGAGAAAGAGTGAGACAAAGTGAGAGAGAGTGAGGGAGAGATAGATAGAGAGAGAGTGAGAGAGCGATAGATAGATAGAGGGAGATAGAGGGAGAGACGAAGAGTGGGAGAGAGAGAGATGTATTGAGAGAAGAACCATTATTAGAGAATATTAACCGAAAAACCCTCCTGCCTACCTGCAACCCATGAGAATCGCATAGAAAGGCGGTGTTAACATGAAATGTTATTCAACAGTCTTCTGTTAGTCCGATGTTAAGATAATGCTTACTGTTAATGTCTTTATTACAGAGGAGTAACGCAGCAACACGCTTGCTTAGCTGCCGCCTATGAGAAGCGCATAGAAAGGCTATGTTAAAATACTTTAGCAATCGTTTGCTATTTTTATATTAAAAAAATACTGTTCAAATATACTGTTTGTGTTAATACGGAAAATCGAATGTTTCTCCATGATGTTATCGCTAGAATTAGCAATATGGATCTTTCTTTGTTGCTATATTGCCATTGTTCGTCCCCCTGTTTCTTACCTTTGCTTTCAGCTTCATAGATCAACAGATCATTGAACTCTTCGGTGTTGTTATCGCGCCAGAGTTTCAAAAATGTAAAATTCTCGTACTTTGTAGCTTTAATGGTTTTCTTTCAATTAATTTATAAGACATTGCTCTGCCCATTTTTGGGTCTATGCAAATTGTCAAGTTATTTTTATCGCTGCATAATCTAATATATTCAATGCGACACGCCTGACGCAAGTGCGCAATTATTTGGGGGTCAACAAATATTATAGTACATAAAACAGAGATATTTATTTATTAATTTTCTGTGAATTTTTCTGTGTGGGGGTCTCTCCAATTTTTGCAGCTGGCATTTCTTTCAGTAATTTTTTTATTTGTCGTTTTGACGCTGTGTCGGCATCCTCATCCTCCGCCGCAAAAAACATTGACCCAAATTGTATTTTGTAAATGTGTGAAAATATGTACAGATATTTTTCTGAATGTGCTCATCCGCGGCTGTTCATCTTTCACTTTCGCTTTCTCAATAGCTCCCTCTTCTTTTTTTCTCCTCTTTATTTTAGCTGCTATTTTTGGAGAAAATCAAAATGATTCAAAGAAAGAGCTGGCTGGCTGCTTCCCCGTCTCGACAACTTTTTATCAGCAGTACAATTAATCATATATTATTATTGTAACTTTTTTGAGTGGCCTTTGGCTTCCCCCACAGCCCCTCGCGATGCTCTCTCTCGCTTTCTGTAATTTGAGGCGCGTGTTGTTTTTATTTCCATGTCTAACGGACAAATTCAAATCGGCTGGGCCGCGGGGCAGCGAGCGGAGCGGACGAGAGATTGATTCATTTAATAAAATATGCTAATGTTAGTCGTAGTCTCTCTACGATTTCCCAGACGATACAGAAATGCTTTCGTTATTTCTATGCTTGGGTCGTTAGAGTGCTTCAAACGTGATTTTTGAAGGTTTCGCAGAGCATTAGGGTATGGAGGGTTCCACGTATGCCACATCTTTTGCTCAAAACTCTTAAATAAAGCTCTGAAATCATGTATGAACCAATATCAAGGCATCCACCAAGAATCGTTGTGTTAATCATAGAATTTCTGGCAACCAATGGATTGATTCTTCAAAATACAAACTCGAATGAATGACAGCCTCGGTTATTATTGTGATAATTATTGAGAATGTTTCCTATCTGTCCTCTGTTGCTCTCTAGTGTGTTCCCTTTTTGGGGCCAAACGTATTTTATCTCGAAAAGGGAAATTTTAAGCAAATGTTTACTAAATTTTCGAAGTTTTTCCCATCCCAGATTGCTTTTAAAACACTAGACAAATTGTAGACATCATAACATAAAGTCTAGTAAATTATAGTTTATATCGAAATAAATTTTAAGTATCTTTCAAGAATGGACAAGGATCCTCAAAAACACTCTATATTAAAGTCCAATAAAATGGACAGACGACCACAATTGCCGCCAGTGAATGTCGCCGAACCGCTGACGGTTCGATCGGTCCTCCAACTGTATTTTAACACCTTTCTGGGCGCCAATTTCGCCGAGTCTTTTGTGTTTCCATTGGACGTGGCCAAGACCCGGATGCAGGTGGAGGGCGAGGAGGCCAAGAAGACGGGCGCCAAGGTACCCAATGCCTTGGCCACACTCAAAAGTATGGTCAAGAACGAGGGACCCAAGACGCTCTATGCTGGATTTTCGGCCATGGTGGCCCGGAATTTGATCTTCAACTCGATGAGGGTTGTGCTATACGATGTCTTTCGGCGGCAGTTCATTCGCGTGGACGAAAACAAGAAGGAAACCCTGTCCGTATCCTCGGCCCTGATGTGCGGCTTCGTCGCCGGTTGCATTGCCCAGGCCTTGGCCAATCCCTTTGACATCGTAAAGGTGCGCATGCAGACGGAGGGCCGTCGCCGCCAGTTGGGCCACAAGCCTCGGGTCAGCAATATGTTCAACGCCTTCACGGGCATCTATCGCGAGGGTGGCCTCCCCAGCATGTGGAGGGGCATAACTCCAAGCTGCCTGCGCGCCTGCCTTATGACCGCCGGCGATGTGGGCACCTACGATCTGAGCAAGCGTTTCTTCAAAAATCTACTCGAGCTGGACGATGGCCTTAGGCTGCGATTCCTCTCCTCCATGTGCGCTGGTCTGGCGGCCAGTGTGCTCAGCAATCCCGCCGATGTGATCAAATCCCGAGTAATGAATCAACAAACGGATGCAGCGGGCAAGAATCTCACCTACAAGAACTCCATGGATTGTCTAGTGAAAACTGTCAGAGAGGAGGGGATTCTAACGTTGTACAAGGGCCTGCTCCCCTGCTGGTTCCGCCTGGGTCCGTTCTCGATACTGTTCTGGTTATCAGTGGAGTTTTTGAGAGATTTGGAGGGACAAACGGGGTTCTAATTACTCCGGTAGCTCTCTAGGAACTACGGTAAATCATTGGACAAAAAATATGATCTTAAGAGGTGTAACAGAGTATCACAGATCATCATCTTCAGTGGAATTTAGATGAAGTTAGAGAATCGTTCGCAGTGGATCTCTGCGTGTACGGTTTCTAACATTTTATTTGTAAATTCAATGCTCTTAGAAAAGTGTCTTCAAAGATGATAGACCCCAGGGGAAAAGAGGATCTTTATTTACTGGGATAGTAGAATTTAGAGGATCATCTGCAGAGGATCCGTGTGTTTGTTTTCCATACATTTTCTCATCAAAATCGTATATGTAATACTCATAGAAAAAGTCTCCCCATAAAAATATAATGGATTTATTCAACATAAAACTCGTAATTTGAAATTATTGTCATTAAAAGTTGCCATATAGTTTATATATTTCGAAAAATCACTCCAAATATGACCCGTGAGGATGCCGTCCAGAATTATATTCGCCATAAATATCTCTCACCGACCATTTGCTATTTGGACAATGGCAAGACTCAGCCTTTCAGTGGCCTGTTTGCCCTGTACATCAACACCTTTTTGGGTGCCACAAATGCAGAGTTCTTCACGTATCCTATGGATGTCACCAAGACGCGACTGCATTTGCAGGGAGAGGCGGCGGAGAAGTCGGGACGGGGTAAGCCCCGGCTCGGAATGATGGGCACTGCTCTGGGCATGGCACGGGAGGAGGGTCTGAGCGGTCTCTATGCCGGATTGTCCGCCATGATCATCAGGAATCTCTTCTTCAATGGCTTGCGTGTGGTATTTTATGACTGCCTTCGCTCGAGATTGGCCTATCTGGATCCTGGCAGCGGCAAGGAGGTTCTGACAGTGTCCCGTGGATTTGGTGCAGGTTGCCTGGCAGGGTGTGCTGCTCAGTTTATAGCCAATCCTCTGGACGTTGTCAAAATTCGCATGCAAATGGAGGGCAGACGCAGGGCTCTTGGACATCCGGCGCGAGTGAGCAATGTCAGGCAGGCCCTGGGGAATGCCTACCAGCATGGCGGCTTCCGGTCGTTGTGGAAGGGCTGTGGCCCCAGCTGTGCACGCGCCATGCTAATGACAGCTGGTAAGTGTACTGAGATCTCTGACTATATCAGATACTATATTCTTTCTTAATCTCCAGGGGACACAGCCTGCTACGATCTAAGCAAACGTCACTTCATGGCCTGGCTACAATGGCCAGATGACCTTTTCATTCAATTTCTTTCGTCCATTTCTGCTGGTTTTGCGGCAAGTGCTTTGAGCACCCCCACGGATGTGGTCAAGTCGAGGATTATGAATCAGCCGACCGATGAGACGGGCAAAGGTTTGCACTATAAGAACGCCTTCGACTGCTATTTAAAGCTCATCACCCAAGAGGGTCCCACGGCCATGTACAAGGGCTTTATACCCTGTTGGATGCGCATAGGTCCTTGGTCGGTGGTATTTTGGGTTACCTTTGAGAACCTCAGAAAGTTGCAGGGACAAACGGGGTTTTGAGATGTACGAAATCATGGAAAATTTTAACAAAATTAAATGTTCTCTAAAAATAGACATAAATTTTATAAAGTATACCTATGACGAAAGTTTGAATGGGTTCTGTGGGAAATGATTTTGGAATACAGGGAGAACTTAAAAGGATGAAAATATCTCAGATTTATCAAGCTTTTTCTCATAACTCTATCAAGCATCTGTCGTTGATCAATTTATAATCTATCAGTTATGAATCATTGATCTATCATCAATTTATCAAGAGTCTATTATTTTTCCATCATATATCTATTTAAGGATCCATCGTAGACCTATCATGAACCGCCCGTTCGTGTGGGAATTGTTGGTATTTTTGGCATTGGATCTAAGAACAAAACGAGCATTGATTAATCCATTTATGAGATATTCCAATTGACCTATTCTTTCCTCATTCTAGATATATTATTTCTTCAACAGAAAACTCTTAATTTGAAATCATTGTCATTAAAAGTTGTCATATAAAATTTTATTTCGAAATTCCTGTTCAAGTATGGCCCGTCCCTGCTAATACTCGTGAAGTATCTGGTCATTGCAGATTCATCGTCTTGCGACCAAAAAAAAATAATACAAAATTATGGCCCGTGAGGATGCACCCCAGAATTATATCCGTCATAAATATCTCTCACCGACCATTTGCTATTTGGACAATGGCAAGACTCAGCCTTTCAGTGGCCTGTTTGCCCTGTACATCAACACCTTTTTGGGTGCCACAAATGCAGAGTTCTTCACGTATCCTATGGATGTCACCAAGACCCGCCTGCATTTGCAGGGAGAGGCGGCGGAGAAGTTAGGACAGGGTAAACTCCGGCGCGGAATGCTGGGCACTGTTCTGGGTATTTCACGGGAGGAGGGTCTGAGCGGTCTCTATGCTGGATTGTCCGCTATGATCATCAGGAATCTCTTCTTCAATGGTTTGCGTATGGTGTTCTATGACTGCCTTCGCTCGAGATGGGCCTATGTGGATCCTGGCAGTGGCAAGGACGTTCTGACAGTGTCCCGTGGATTTGGAGCTGGTTGCCTGGCAGGGTGTGCTGCTCAGTTTATAGCCAATCCTCTGGACGTAGTCAAAATTCGCATGCAAATGGAGGGCAGACGCAGGGCTCTTGGACATCCGGCGCGAGTGAGCAATGTCAGGCAGGCCCTGGGGGATGCCTACCAGCATGGCGGCTTGCGATCGTTGTGGAAGGGCTGTGGCCCCAGCTGTGCACGCGCCATGCTAATGACAGCTGGTAAGTGTACTGAGATCTCTAACTATTTCAGATACTGTATTCTTTCTTAATCTCCAGGGGACACAGCCTGCTACGATCTGAGCAAACGTCATTTCATGGCATGGCTACAATGGCCAGATGGTCTTTTTATTCAATTTCTATCGTCCATTACTGCGGGTTTTGCGGCAAGTGCTTTGAGCACCCCCACGGATGTGGTCAAGTCGAGGATTATGAATCAGCCGACCGATAAGACCGGCAAAGGTCTCCACTATAAGAACGCCTTCGACTGCTATTTAAAGCTCATCACCCAAGAGGGTCCCACGGCCATGTACAAGGGCTTTATACCCTGTTGGATGCGCATAGGTCCTTGGTCGGTGGTATTTTGGGTTACCTTTGAGAACCTCAGAAAGTTGCAGGGACAAACGGGTTTTTGAGATGTACGAAATCAGGGAATATTTGAACAAAATTAACAACATTTCTATAAAAATTTAAATAAATTGTTTAAAGTCTACCTAAATGACGGATGTTTGTATGGGTTCTGCGGGCAATGATTTTGGTATACATGGAGAACCTAAAAGGATGAAAATATCCCGTATTTATATATCTTCATCATATATCTATTTAAGGATCCATCGTAGATCTATCATGAGCCGCCTGATCGTGTGGGAACTGTTGGTATTTTTTTTGGAATTGGACCTAAGAACAAAACGATCATTGATTAATCCATTAATGAGATATTCCATTTGACATATTCTTTCCTCATTCTAAGTATATTTTCTCTGAATCTTCGTCCGGGTGTTCAGGGGATTACATCCTCAGTTAAGTGACTCTTACGTGACTTTCTTTCCCGAAATATAACTTCATAAACAGCTTAAAATATACTTAAATTCATTCTTTTTAATCAGTGTTTGTCTTTTCTCAGATATAGGTACTTTTTGTATAGAAAATTCACACGCGGGTAAAGCCCAGTGAAAAAATACCCAAAATATTGGTTATATGATTCGATTTGCAAGCAAGAACCATCGTTAACCTAGTTCCTATGTATAAAAGAACTTTCTGATAAGCTGCAAAAGGTAGATTGGTAGATAGAGGTGGTCGGTGCTCCGACCACACCCTTGTCTACGGCGGCGGCGCTTAACCTAATTATTAATAAATGATAATGTGCCTTGAATGTAGACCACATAATGATGACGTTGTGTCCCTGTCGTGCTGGCTGCCTGCCTGCCTGTCGAAATATGTTTTACAGCGTTGCAGCAGCAACCCCCTGATGGAAAACATGGGTGCGGTTCCGCTTTCCTGAGGGAGCCACTCAGTCTATTGCCTCCGTCTCTCCCACCACGTAGGTGAGTAAGTGGCAAATGTCTGACATAATGCGTAAATCCTCCTCACGGAAACCCTTACCCACTTCAAAGGTCTTTAGCACTTTTGTTAAATGAATGTAGGAATGAATGACGGAAATGTGGGGTTCATTTCAAGTTATTTTCCTGAAACACACACGCATGGGTAATTGTTCTTTCATTAGTCATCAGAGGAGGGTTCTCTTTAAGTATATGGGGTTAAAGGGGGTTCCGTGTGTGGTTCCATTTGTATAGGGGTCTCATGTGGGGTTCGGTTTATAGAGCTGCACGCTCCACGTGACTCTTTCGTGTTGTGGTTTCTCTCTCTCTCTCTGTCTATAGGATTTTATGGGTCAGGTCAGTTACAACGAATTGGAATCTAACACCCGCTGACCCAATGACCAATTTATCGGCTAATAGCTAATGTTCAACACCATGCAAACATTTTGCTGAAACCCCGAGAGGTTGTTTTTGCTGGTAGAACTCTCTTCTGCTGACGTTGTAGATCTCTACTGTTGTTGAGGCGATGGCAATCGGTGGAGCAGTTTGTTGAACTGCCAACACAAGCGAAATCGTAATGCGAGGATCAGCTGAAATTAGTGGTTAAAAAATGTATTTGGGCTTAAGGAATGGCTAATGCTCTAATGGGAGAGGATATAGAGAGAATCTGGTGAAAATAATGCTTGGATGAAGAGATTGTTTAAGAAGAATTGGTTAGTGATCTATTCGCTGGGACACGGGAAAGAACCCTTAGATCATTAGCGAGAAACAGCTGAAAAGCTGATGGAAAGTGGAAAGAATTATGCTAGAATGAATCGAATTTTCATGAGAAACTAGTACTGGATAGGCAAAATAATCATCTAGAATTCCCAGTCCCTTGAAACCCTATCCTAAAAGAACCCTATCCCCCTTTTAGCCATACAGAAGATTTGTTAAATAAATGATAGAGTTTCAAAGATCATCTAAAATCAATAACCAACCACAAAACTGCCCAAATTTGCATAGAACTTTCTTTAATGAAAGCGTATGGCCATTTCCATTTGAAAACCCTCTCGATCAGGTCGACGTTGCATTCGTTTTTATTCCGTCATGTGATTTGCAAGCGAATGAAACTCCAATTACGAGTACCAGTGCAATAAACCAGCAAAATTTCTGCTACCCCAAAAAGAAGGAGAGAAGGAGAAGATTGGGAAAGACACTACGAAGAACTCTGTTGGGTAAGACGTGGTGGGTGTATTTCTCTGGATGAAGAAGTGGGAATAGAGACAGATTCTAGCAATTGACAAACTTTTATTCCAGATATAGAGGAGAGCTCCAGAGTATATAAAAGAGGTCTCGAACAGAAGCGGAAGTTAGTAAGCGGAAGAAAATGGATAAATATTCACAGTGCTGGAAGATTTGGCTGTGGCTTTGGATGGCCTTTGCCCTTTATGGTGTTTCAGCAAGTGAGGATCGGACCATCAGGCTTCCTGCAGCTGATGAGCCGTCTCTTGGCTTTTCTGGAGCTAAGGATCTGGCCTTACCCATCTCCGTGGCTTCTGCAGTCGTAGATCTAAAGAAGAAACCTCCAGTGGATCTACTCCATCGATCCAAGAGAACTCTGACCACCATCTGCGTGGAGATCAAGCCAAGTGGACCGCTGGAGGAGCCCTACTACATGTGCAAGGGCGAGAATTTCGGAACTGAGAACAAACAAAGTTGCGTGGAATTCAAGCCAGGTGGCGCCCAGGGCGAGCTCTACTACATGTGCAAGGGCAACGATTTTGCCAGTGGAAATGATCAGGGGATACCAGCGAATCAGCCCTCCCAATTTGGGTTTCCTTCCCAGAAGCAGGCGCCACCAGCTGTGGCACCTGGCTATCAACAACAAGCTGCACCGATTGCCCATACCTTTCCATCGTTTCCCGCCTTTGGAGGCGGGTTATTTCCAAACCAACAGCAGTACGAGGAACCCAGGAGGGAAACGCCAACGACGACATATCAGGAGCAGCGTCCGAATCAACAGGGGCCCGAAAATCCCCAGCAGCAGCCCTACAACGCTCAGCAGAAACTCCCAAATCCTCAGCAGCCGCCACAATATCCGCAAGAGCAGCCCTACAAGCCCCAACAGCAGCCCCAAAATGCTCCTCAGCAGCAGCTCCAATATCCAGAGTACACTCCTCAACAGCCCCACCAGCCCCATCAGCAATTTGGATACTCTGGCGGCACCATGGCTCCCACTCCGGCTGCATCTCCTGCGCAGTCATATGGCCTGCCAGCAGTTCCTCGCCCAAATCCAGGCAGCCCGCCAGCACTTCAATACGGAGCTCCTGCAGGCCCAGGCCCAACGGCCACGACCACTGCATATCATCCTGCAGCAGCTCAGAAGTCGGCGGCAGCTGCAAAACCAACGCAGGGCCAGCAGCAGTCGATTCCCTCGTACGAAACTCCAGTGGTAGGAAGTCGTCATCAACCTGGATTGGATGGGGATGTGGTGGGGATGCCCAGAGTGGGTTTCCAACCGGAGGAATTCAGACAGCAGTACCGCGGTTCCATGGGAGAGCCACCGATGCAGCAGCAGGAGCTGGCAGAGCCACAAATGGTTTGGTTACCTCCTTCGCCAGTGGCTGAGCAACTCGATGATCCCGTAATGAGAAGCTTTTACAAGAGCCTGGCTCCACAACCAACAGTAAGGGCAGAAGGAGTAACAGTAGGAGCAGCACCACCAACAGTAGGAGCACCACCACCACCGCTGAGGCCACCACATCTCAGCAAAACGCAACCTGTACCTCCCTTGGAACCTTTAGTGGGTCAAAGCTATCAGCCATCCTACGGCCAATACCCGGAATCTCAGGCTCCGCCAACATTGCCACCGCCTCCGCCTGCATATTCCCGACCAGAAGTGCCTGCATCCACCTTGGAACCATCACCAATTGGCTACAATTCCTACTGCAATGGATGCAATGTTCCGTCCATACCCCGGCAATGTCCAGCGGAGACTGGAGTCAGCTACAGCACAATATGTCCCAGTTTTCAGCCTGTTATTATAGCCATGCCCTGCTACGAACAGCAGCCCACGCATTATCTGGCCGTGCCAAATATTGTGCCAAACGGAGGCAGGATTCCGAGCACGTATGGGAATGAGATGCCTGGTGGGAGTCCCTATGGATCGTCATTTGGTATGCATCAACAGGTGGGCAGCCCATACGGAGCGAATCAGCAGGTGGGCAGCCCCTTCGGAGCGAATCAGCAGGTAGGAAGTCCTTTTGGAATCGCAACACAGATTGGACGTCCTTTTGGACCAAATCAACAGGTTGGCAGTCCTTTTGGTCAAAATCAACAGGTTGGCAGTCCTTTTGGAGCAAATCAACAGGTTGGCAGTCCTTTTGGAACTAATCAACAGGTTGGCAGTCCTTTTGGAACGAATCAACAGATGGGTAGCCCCTTCGGCAATCCACCTCAGGTGGGCAGTCCCTTCGGAAATGCTCCACAATCTGGCAGCCCCTTCGGAATGGCACCACAGATGGGTAATAATCCCGGATTCAACATGAATATGGGCGCACAAGTGGGCAGCCCTTTTGTTCCGAACGGCCCCCAAGTGGGTGCTGGCTTCGGAATGGGTCTGAGCCCGTTTGGCCCATTCGGAAGCCTGAATCCGTTTAATCCGTTCAACAGAATTCTGGGCGCTGCAGCTCCCACAACACCACAGCCCCAAAAGAATGGATTCCAGCGCATTTTCAAGTTTGACAGCTCCTCGACAACAACAGAGGCACCATCCCTGGGCTCAACTGTTCAGCAATCCACGGAAAAGTCGGGAAAACTGAACTTTTCCAGCAGCACACCGACGGCAGCTCCGAGCTCTGCTTCATCGGAGCCTAGCTTGGGGGCTTCCCTCGCGGGCCCTGCCGAAGAGGATGAACACGAGGAGGATGATGAGGGAGAAGACGAAGACCATATGGGGACCACAACTGCATCCACAAGTGAAGCTGATACTTCGGTCGGCGCCTCCCTCGAGGTTATACCCTTGGGGAAGCTCACTGCCAAGGACCTCATGAACAAGGCCGAGGAGAGTCTCAAGACGGACGACGAGAATCCATTGAAGAACGAAAAGCGCAAACGCCACAATTCCCGAGCCAACAAGGGGATTAACCAGAAGCGAAAATATCTCCAGCAACTGTAGAATTTTACTGCATTTTTCTATGAATAAAAAATTTAATTTATAAATCATGGAGTTTCCATTTTCAAGAGGGTTTTTATTTCCTTTCAAGCTTTATCTTTGCGTGGATCTAAACTGGAGGCACATCGGACTTTCGTGCCCCATAACTTGATGTAGAATATAATGATGGCACGTAAATATTTCGCTTTAATTAAAAGGAAATTTTCTGAAGGCTGAAGTGGGTTTTTCCTTGGGAATGTTCTGGAGAGAATATTTAGGTAATATTTATAGCAATGTTCTAGAATTTTGTTCTTTAATGGAGTTTTAGGAGCAAGCCCAAAGACAGGATTGTAATTATAGCCTATACCAAACAAAAATTCTTCAACGATAGATAGGAAGTTGGGGAGAGACTTAGGGATTTTTAGGATATGGAAGGAAGACTTCAAGATTAAAGAGTAAATATTTTTCTTGATGTATGTATAATATATGTATACCTTTCCATCTACCTATGCGTTGTATATCTTATTCCTTATACCTAAAAATATCCCATATATTTCCTTGACCTTAATCATAAACTCATATAATCATCCACTCACATCCACAACATATTACTTTTGTAAATAGCTATTTCCCACTCGCATGTCTGTCCATCAGGCACCGAAAATGTTTAACAAAAGGCCGGTGGATGAATAAGCCAATGGCCTGGCCACTTAAGGAAGTATTTCATAAAGCCACCAGATAATACTTATTCGCAGTGTATAATGTATGTTTATCTTTCTGGCTTTTTTCGATATACGTATACTTCCGTTTTGCTATGGCTATGGCTATGCCTCATGGCTTATGGCTTATGGCGGTGGCTCGCCCGTTTATGGCTTACCGACAGCTACGCTCCACGGATCAAACAGGAACCAAACCCCAGCTCCAGCTGGCGATTAGCAATTTCGAGCACGTAACAGAACAATTTAAATAAACCATAAAGAAAAAGTAAAGTAAAGAAAAGGAAAATAAATGAAAATACAAGTAAATACTCGTAATGCTTAGAGTCAATGCACTGCAGAAACTCTTGAATGTGAGCAAGAGGTTGTTGGATCTTGACTCGAGTCTGGGCTTGGGATTGGGAACGGGAACGGGAACACTGATGGAGCACAGCTGTGTGTCTCGCATTGGAGGGGGCTTTGGCTTCTATTATTAAGTGGGTTACACTTTTCGGCGGCTTGCGAAATATGAGATATACAAGGGAACTTCCTCATGCCAATCGTACCCAAATTTTCTACAAAAAGTATGCAAAGGTAATACGAAATATCAGATGCTCTAAGAGGCAATACAAACTAAAGAAAAAAACTTTGTAAGCTGTGTAATAAGACATCTAAATATATAAAAGATATATCTACAAATTTAGAGTATAAAAGGTTTAATAAGATAGATTCTTGTCCCTGAATTTCTGTTTATCTGATAGGGACTGTTTATTGATAAGATATCCTTGGTTTTATGGAGCATTTTCTCAAAGTCTAAGAAGAGAATATCCATTCCTTCATTTGCCTTTACCGCTCACAAGTCTACCATTCAAACAGATAGACCCTCACTGGAGGGCAGGGCATCCTCTACTGCTGACCTTGCAATAATATGCCCTGCAGTTCTACCTCTCTCCGAATGGAATCGTACCCGCTGGCACTAGTTGCAGTTGACAGTTCGCGACGCGAGGTTAAAGTTACACTCGGGGGCTTCCAAATCGAATCAAAATGTTGAGGAGATCAACTATTCTAGTGGTGCTCTGCTGTGCCCTAAGCCTCTCCAGGGGGATTCAGGAGTTGGATACCATTCCATCCAATAGGATTGCTGGTCCAGGCGAACCCATGTACTATCTGATGGCAGATGCCGGCTCATCGGTGGGTCCCAACGATGCACTGAAGCGCACAAATCGCTCGCTTCTCAAATGGTGGGACGATCTTTTCCGTCAAAACAATTGTTGCAACAACAACAACAATGTGCTGTATCCACCTCTGGCCCCTGTGGCACCTGTTGTCCAACCGCAAACGAATTGCAATGGCAATGGCCTGCAGTTGCAGGATCTGGATCCCTTTAAGCAAATGAAATTGTTTAAGAAGATCCCCGATCTATTTGGCAATCCGATCGGAAATTGTGGGGGACTGTGCGGTGGCAATTGCGGACAGCCGGCGTTGCAGCCGCAGGTAAACTATTTGGCGCCTCAGCCAACTCCTGGTTATGGTGGGGATGATTATGCCAAGCCGAATCCTGAGTATAATGGTCCTGGCGACGGCGATGCGGGCTATGTGGCTCCAGTGGTGGCTCCTCCGGTTACGTATGATGCTCCAGCGCCACCGCCCTCCAGCTATGAGGCGCCTGCTCCTAGCTATGTTGATCCCGCTCCCCCTGCCCCCGTCTACGATGCTCCTGCACCTCCTGCTCCTAGCTATGAAGCTCCTACTCCCAGCTACGAACAGCCTGCCCCCGCACCAGAGTCCTATAGCAAAGTGGATGACTATTCCCCGCCTGCCAGCACTTATCCGGTCGCACAACCACCGCAGATTGTCTATCAACCCATCATCTATGTCTCTGCACCACCAGCATCCAGGACAGACGTTGCCACAAAGGTGCAAGTAGATGAACAGAGCTACAACAATCAGCCAGCAGCTCCTGTCTATGAGGCGCCAGCGGCTCCTGTCTATGAAGCGCCACTGGCTCCTGTCTATGAAGCCCCACCAGCCGCATACGCACCACCGCCGCCGCCACAACCTTCTGCCACGCCCTGCGGTAGTTATCTGCCCCTTTGGGGCGTTCCTGTCTATAACTATGGGGCGCAAGCAGCGGCTCCTCCTGCACCACCTGCATACGCCCCTGCGCCAGTGGCACCTCCGGCCTATGCACCTGCCCCTCAATCACCTGGCTATGCCACGCCCAGCTGTGAGACGCCCATACGACTCTCGTTGATCGATCAACCGTATCGCGTGGCACCAGAACTCTTTGAAGAATACAACTATCGTCTAGGTTTGGCCGCACAGAATCGATTATAGTCCATAGATCTCTATTTCCTGACAATCCTGTAAATAAAATGCATCTAACGATTTGTGGATTGATTGGTTATACTTCATTTTTTTAGAGGGGGGAGGAATGGCATTGGCAATTGCTAAGGGAACAATTGTTGATCAAATATGTGGCATAGATATGTCATGTAGGCTTATTTGCTGTGAGATATGTTTTGTGGAGTGATTATTGATTGATTTATTAGCTTTAGAAGACTGTTCATAGCTCGACATGATTATTGATTGATGAATTATTGTCTAAAGAGATTGATTGGTTCTTTTGAATGATCATATATTTATTTCTTTTAGTTAAAGAACATTTCGTCATAGAAAAATGTATCTTAAAACTTAAGGCATGGTCTTAAGAATCTCTATTGCTTTTACTTATACAAGATTTAGCAATACAAAAACATGCTTATCTTTTTGAAATCGCCAGAAAACTCTTAAAAGTTTGTATATTTTATTTAATCTTTTATTTTGTTATCTTTAGCAATTTGTACATATACAGAACGATTTGTTATTCCAAATGGAATCAGCATTCGTTTGCACTTTCATATCCGTTCACTTACTATCGTCATCATATCAATTTTTATATGAAGTAGAGACGATTTGGGGGTTCCATTAGGGGAAGTACTTCTCTATTGGATAAGAAATTATGTTGTATACGTGGATGGGAATCATATGAATCTTCGAGCCCTTCCAAGGGTGCGGACCCCAAGAACTCAATGGATTGACTTTTCTGCTGATTTCAGCCAAAATTAATGTTTGTGTATCACACCATAGGTGCCCAAAGACTTTAGATCTACTACCCAAGCACTCCGAGGAGTCTTAAGAAAACTAAGTAAGTAAGTACTACATATATACTTTTTATATTGGACATATATATTTATACTTATATAATGTATTCTCATTTTCAAGACAGAAATAATAGTAGATAGTCGTCGTAATATTATTTTTAGATCTTGAAGTCTTTTCTGATGCTTAAGTATTATCAAAATATAACCTTTATGAACAAACAACAGAAGAGAAAATATGCTTCAATTCGTTGGAAATATATGTATTTAAGGCCATGGTAGTGTAATTTTCTCTTGGTTTCTCAGATATATGTTTATTTTCTGTTTGGTTTTCCAGATACACATTTATTTGTACACTCGTTTCCCCTGCCTACGAACGATCACCGGATCGGCGTATCTGCAAAACCGATCCATAGCCGTCGAGTGTTTGTACAGTTGTGTGCAAGCGAGCAGCGATTTCCGTTCGACTTATCAACATGTGGCATACCACGGATCGACTGAAAGTATGTGGCAGCAGCTATCGCATGTGTGGAAGAATATGATCGGGGGAAAAAACCCGGGAGTAAGTCAGTTGGTCGCTTGCCTGCCCCGCCTCTTGGTGTTCTGTTGCTTTGTTTTCATTTTCAAATTCGAATTCCAGAACAAATTGCACAAAAGATAAACAGCAGAGAGTTTCCTTCTTCATGCGGGGCGTCAGGGCGGGTTCTGTGAAATGTGATAATAACAGAGAGATAGACCCAACCCAGCCCACTCCCCATCCCATCCCGCATGACCATGACCATGACCAAGTGAAAGTGAGTGCAGCCTCGCCTCGCCTTCTTCTGATTCCCAGCAGTTCCCCAACTACTGCTGGTCATCGTCCATGACACCACTCCGCTGTCTCTGCCTCAACTTTGCATGTGGCACGCACGCACTTCTCTTCTTTCGTCCAACCATCATCACTTGGCAGCGCCTTGCCCCCGTGTGTACGCGGATGCATGACGCGATGATAGTTTACATAATCTCTGGTCTAATCGCTTGTTGAGTGAGCGAGAAATATGGTTAATAAATTAGCCACGGGGCATGTCTATGTTGTAATCTTTGTGGCAGAGTCACAGATCAAGTAGCATGTGCGAAAGGAGTTGCAAGATTGGTCAAGAAAGTAGCACGAGAGTGGAGAGATCATTAAATATGGGCATTAAGTGATCTGTAAGGGTAATTGTAAAGTCTTAAAAAAAATTAAGTGTTTCAAATAGGATAAGGCATTAAATTGGAATAAATATATAATAAATCAGTTTTCTGGAATAATTTTTCTTTCTAAAGAAAATACATCCCATAAATAACAGAATAAAAAGTATTCTTAAACGTGGAAAAACAAAAAAGATATTTAGTGGTTTTCAATGCAAATAACAGAATTTTATAAATTTATAATTAATTGTACAGAGAATTAAAAGAAAAGAAAAAGAAGTTTCGAAATTCCAGGTTTCATAAAGTAAAAATTTCTCCATTGAAAGAATGGGAAGCAAAATCTGAAAGTCTGGTACTTGACTTTATTTCGCCTTTATCGAAGAAGATAAACCCTATCAAAATTGAAAATTTCCTCAGAAAAATATCTTGATTGTCTTTTAAAAATTACGAGAATTCCCTCTCTACTTTAAACCCAGCCAAAATGATCAATCACAATCAATTACCCAACCAATTACAAGCATATTCGAGTACATAATTATATTTTAACTCTGGATTAAGCGATCAACCATCAAAGAACCGTTTCTGTTTACATCAGAAAGATCAGGGGGAAACATGAGTTGGAAAAACTACCCCACACAGATTTTCTCAGAACTCAAAAGTCGGGCGCCGCCGTCGAGCTGTCGAGCATAATTGAGTGGAGATGGGGATCCCAAGTGCCATGATCATAAAAATTTAACAGAACATAAACAACAAAACGCAGAAACATCTATCTCTCTATGGTAGTATCTTCATGTTGTATCTTTCTCTTGAGTTGCGGAGGCCTGAGGGCTGTTTCACTGGCAACCACATGCGGGGGCTCCTCAAAAATAGCGCCAATGCTGCTTTAAAGTGAGGATCTTGCTGGATATAGCGAATTCTTGTACCCTATAAATGATAAGGGGTTTACAGATATTGGACGAGAAATTAATTTCAAATATACTTAAAGTTTAATGTACAATCTGTAAATCTTTATCTGTAGAAGAAATCAAAAAGATCCTCTTACAGAAACATTCTTCAGGGTGGACGTTTCAAATTGAGGTTACAATATATTTTAGTGTGAGATCTTCTTTTGCATGAAAAACTACTGCTATAGTGGCTTTCTTCTCAAGAAAATTATAAGCAATTATGAAAGTGTTTATTAATGGCTAATTCTCTTGCTAATACCATCTGTTCCCTATTTTAAATTGGATTTTACATGGCTTTATAATTTTCATTTGATATACTGAAAGATCCCTTTAAATAATTGCCTTACAACTCTATTAAAAAGTGTATTATTTTATTTCGTTATACCATATCCAAAAATCCTCTCCCATGTGCCAGGCGAGGCGTTGAACTGTGTGAGTGACGAACCCCAAGAGGGGACTCCGATCAGCCGTCTGTCTGCCTCATATTCGTATTTGTGAAGTGAGTGTTGTGGTGCTCTGTGGCTCTGGTGACTCGATCTTCGAGTGGTTTGCCACTGTGGGGGGGTCTTCTACATATTTATACACGAATATATATAAATTGCCTTCTGTATATATTTTGAGATACATTTTTTGGGGAACATTTTCATTTGGTTTATATTTAATTTTCGTTTGTGCATTCTTGAATTTTTATATATAATTTTCGTTTATTTATGCGGCATTTGCTATACGTAATAAATTTCCAACCCATTCCGTCGTGATATGTGGGTCGTTGGCATTTGATTGCATTTTCAATTGGCTTCTAGAGGAGAAAGTGTGGGAGCATTGGAGGAGTATTTCCCAAGAGAAAATGCATTGAAAACTCAAAATCTAATTACAGCACTCAAGTTGAGAGCTTAATCTGTCTAGGAAACTGCCAAGAAACTCTTCCAAAATCGTTCGTATGCATCAGAATTGGGTACAAGTGAAGCTTATGAACAGACAATATTTCTGTGTGATTTTCTGCTAAAGAAGCAATACATAAAACGATGGTTAGTTTGGGCTCTTAAGTTGAGCATGAAGTGCCACGCTCTCAATATAAGAAAATTTATACTTCAATTCAAAGTGATCGATCTATGCTTAAGTTTCTTACAAGTCCTTGCATAAGTTTTGGCTAATCCTTAAAAAATACTACCGTTTCCAAAGTTATGTTAAGTTATCTTAAGAAATAAAGGAGTTTATCCCGCAAAGACCTTGGTTTTTAGCTTTTCTAATGACAGCTATACGATATAGTAATGGAATATTTTCAAATTTGACTTTTATATGTAATTTCTGAACCAAAAATCTCCCATACCATTTGGCCGGCAAGAGTTTGAGTTCGAGTCCGAGCTCATAGCTTATTTATTAGCTCTGGAAAAAGAATTTAAAAATATAATAATAATGCATAAAATAAAATTCGTACAAATAAAAAAAAAATTGTTAAAATAAACATTTGATGCCACTTAAGGAGAGAAACAAAGGGAGGTAAGAGCTTTTAGCTTTCAGCAATCAGATCAATACGCACCTTCCGGCTGATTCGGCCTAAAAAAAACCTCTCAGATCACCTTGGCTTTCAGCCCTTAGTGCTTTTGTTTACGCGTTATATTGTGTTGACATATTTTTGGCATTTTTAGGTGCTTTGTGCATTCAAAAGAGATTTTAGATGAACGAGATGAAGGGCCGGTGGGCTGTTTTCATCAATTGCAGTGCAGCCTCTGCTCTTGCCGTTTCTTCCGCTTTCGTTCTTCTCAAACGCGCTCGACGTCGTTGTTGTTTGTAGTGAAAATTGGTTCGAGCGTGTTTGTTATCTAACTCCATCGCATTCCCGCCTCGTGGTTCGTTTCTTCCGCCAGCTCCGTCGCGTAAATCATATCATCCGTAATCCTGCGTCTATCTTAATTGCGCTGTGAGCAAAGCTGTGGGCGCAACTTCTCCACGTGGGGGACTGCTTCTTCTTCGGTGAACACCTGTTTGCGTTCCCCTTTCGCGGGCTTTCGTAGTTGTTGTATTGCAAATGCGTTTGCGTTGTTGTTTTAGTGCAAATTGGTTCGATTTGACCAGTGTAATTTTTAGTTTCTTCCGGTAATCCTTCGTCCATCGTATTTTTGCTTGTGGGCAAATGTCTGGCTCTCTGTTTGCCTCGTGGAACAACCCTTCGCCTTGATAGAGCCTTATTTTTTTCCGTGCCTTCGTAGTTGTTGTTGTTGTAAAAGTATGAGTGCAGTTCGAGCCTGCTTGTCCAACCTCTCGCCCACAACTTCGGTTCGCGCTTCGGTTCGTGTGTGTGTCAAACCGACTTTGGGGTGCTCTCGAACCAAAGAGAGAGCAAAACCAATAAAGTAAACAAAGAAGTGAGTAATGAACATGTATTTGAATTAAATAGGGTACACAAGATTCACCTTTCCATAGCTTTAGAGTTCTCTCTGTGATCGCTTCGAACAGAATTGATTTCAAAGAGAACTGAACATTTATGCTCTTTGCAACTGGGATAAATTGTATATTTTATCTTGCTAGAGAGCATTTGAATAGAATTCAATGAATATTTCTATCAATTATTTAGCCCTTATATAAATACCATTATTATAATAATTATACAAAGTCCCAAAAAATCGATGACATGTGTTCTACTTTTTACAGAACAAGTACTTAAGATTTCACAACATTTGTGGCTTGTAACCAGGCCACATACTTGTACCGTACCCCCCCCCCCCCCGCTCCCTCTCTTACTCCCACCCACTCCCCCGTTGTGCTGTGTAGCAGAATTTCGGAAATGTTTGTACATTTTCGCCAACCTAAACGTTCTTTTCGTAAAAATAATGACCCCAAAAAGCTGAAAGTCAGCGGTATATATTATTGTGGAGCATTGGAGCTGATGGAGCAGAAAAATACTCTAAGAAGAGAAGTGAAAGAATTAGTTCAAGCCACTAACTGCCGACTAGACAAATTCCAATGGCTATATAAACTAGGGAATCGGTGGAGAATATCATCAGTCACCTTTGGTCACTTCCAACAGCTCCAACCAGCCTTTCTTCAGCTTCCAGCTTCAATCTTCAGTCACCAAATCTTCAATCAAGATGAACTCCTTTGTGTGCTTCGCTCTCATCGCCCTGGCTGCCACCTCCGCTCTGGCCACGCCCACCAATGTTGGATCTTCTGCCAACGCCGGCTCCACCGTCTCTCTGGCCTCCCAGGATGGCGAGGTTGAGGGCATCACCAACCAGGGCTATGGAGACCTGACCCGTCTGCGCAAGTCCGCCTACGGCGGCAGCTCCGGCGGCGGCAGCTATGGTGGATCCAGCATCCCTGCCCCACCCTGCCCCAAGAACTACCTGTTCAGCTGCCAGCCCAATCTTGCCCCAGTGCCATGCAGCGCCCCAGCACCTAGCTACGGATCCGCTGGCGCCTACTCCTCGCCGGTGGCCACCTATGTGGCACCCAACTACGGCGTGCCCCAGCACCAGCAGCAGCTCTACAGCGCTGCCTATGTGCCCCAGCAGGCCTATGGCTACCATTACTAAGGATCGACCGGATTTCCACTAATGGAACACGATTACGACTGTCGGACGAAACACAAAAAACTTTGCTAGGTTTTCAGAAAATGTCAAAAAAAATATTTATTGCAAAAATTAAAATTACAAAAAAAAAACTTAAGAAAAAACGTGCATTTTTATTTATTTCTCTTATATCCCAGAAATTTAAGGAAATTTCAAAAATTATCGTCCCTGCAGTACTCGTAGTACCATCCAATCTTGAATTTGGATTTTCCTTATGTTTATTTTCTCCACCTGAATTCCATTAATTCTGAAGAATTTTTTCTTTGCTCTGAATATTAATTTAAGATCTTCATTTTATAAGCTTTAGGTGGAAATATTATCTATCTTTTTTACGTAATAGAGAACATATTATATTTTCTGATTTTTCTAATACTGTTTTTCGTATAAAAACGGATAACTTAAATATTTCATCCACAGTTTTATTGTGTGAAACATAAGCTATGTATATGTCTTGGGGATATAACTAAAATAACATGACTTTTACTGGAATAATATTGGTGTCAGCCATTTTTAAAGAAAGAAAATACTTCCTAAACTACCTGTAGCCACACTACCATTAGCCCCATTTTCTAATATTACTATCTATATTTTCAAATAAATAATTAGTTCCTACGGATTATACAACAATTAAGGGAATTATATTGATACAATTTAATACAAATTTGTTGACAGAGCAGTTTCGTATCAATAAAAAATTATATTAAATACAAAATACATGAAAAGTGGTAGAATTTCAATTGAAACCGAAACGTTAGATACTTTTTTAATTAAAAGAAATCAAAATCTAAGTACCTGCTTTCTAAAGTGTTTTCTGTGTTTAAAAGTGATGAAAACTTGTGCACATGACGTGTAATAATCATATATTGTAACAAATATGATCACACATGGATCTACGGGGCATCTTTGAACAACAAAATCCGTTTTTATGGATCTCAAAAGTTAGAAATACCTAAAGTGTGACCGAATGAAGTACATAAATATGAGTACCTCCAATGGTTACGAGTACTCTACCCAAATAGAGTATTAAATAATACATAAGCAAATTTATCATTAAATAATCCGCCACTAAGCATTTCCTACTTTTTTATCCAGAATTAAATGATTTTTAACCATTTTCGTGCGGGGTCTCTGAACCCCAAAAGTTAATGCTGCAAAAAATCACAAAAAATATACATTTTATGAACATATTTGGGATATTGCAACACATCCGCCGCACAATGCGCACAGACAGAGACGACGACCCAAATCCACGTGCAAGAGGCGGAAAACTGTGTAAGGTGGAAAGTGGAAAAGTGCAAACAGTTGAGGAAATACGATATCCCCATGCGAGATCCAATCAAACGGTTGAATGGACAGACGAGAGACGACAGACGCGACCCGACAACAAATGCAACAATTGCTGACCTTCGGGTTTCAGGTGGCACATAAGGTTTCGCGCCACAGAAAGATTTAAGAATAGTACGGCTTTGACCAGGGAATGATTAGGATGTGTACGCACCTTCTTATAGCAGGAGCTTGAATGCCCATGGAACTACTTTCCATCTTGAATCTTTAGCCTAAAATTGTGTCACATTTCTTCAGTTCTTTCCCCCTAGAAATGTGCCACAATTCTCGATCTTTAGCCTCTATTTCCCCCCCTAGAATTGTGCCACATTTCTCCATTCTTTCCACTCGAAATATGCCACCCACTAACCCCAATTTGAGGGATGGAATGTTGCATACTGGGTCTGGTGGGTACCTTGCCCCCGTTGTTGCAAATGTCTGTCTGTGTCTCTCGCTTTTCGCATGGCATTGCAGTTTCCCGGGAAAATTCATAAAAACCCACTGACCATCGCCCCAGTCGCTGGAGTCTCAGTTTACATCTCGCCGCAAGAGTAAATCCATCAGCAAACGGAGAATGTGGAAGTATCTGGTGCTCTTTGGGGGTCTCTGCCTCTTTGGCTGCAGTGTGGCACCGTGTCAGGGCTACACCACTCGCTGTGTGCGGAGCCTGCCCCTGCCGCTCTATCATTTCATACCCGTCCGCCTCTACACGCCGCAGACGCTGCTCGAGGGCCTGAATCACGAGGATCTGCAGCGGGAGCGACGACAGCAGCAGATCGTACAGGAGGTCATTCTGGAGAATAATTTTGGAGGCGGTTTTGGTGGTCCATCGTTCGGCCCTCCCCCATTCGGGCGTCCTCCGTTCGGAGGAGGAGGCTTTGGGCCCGGCAGATTCGGACCTGGTCGTGGCTTTGGCGGTGGTTTTGGTGGCTCCTTTGGCGGAGGCTTTGGCGGTTCATTTGCTCGTAGCTACAACCAGGAGGAAGAGAAGCTGCCAGTCCCACAATATAGTTCCCCTGCTACCCCAAGTGCTCCGGCGTACAGTGCTCCTGCTCCATGTGCTCCTCCTGCTGCTCCAAGTGCTCCTGCTCCTCCTGCTCCCAGTGGCATACCATCGCCGGAATGTCCAAAGAACTATGTGTTCTCCTGTGAGGCGGTCATCAAGCCCGTTCCCTGTGCTGCTTCCAGCTCTTGTGGTTATTGAGAGAAACAAAGGACTGACTAATAAAACAAGAGATGTTAACGACAAATTGTGAGGATTTATATTGGAAATTTTGGGTTTTTTTTTGGTAGTGGGGCATAGATCTATGGAGTCTGAGATCTTTTGATATACAATCTAGAGATATCATTTTTCGTACCTAATAGAATTTTAGGTAGAAAATATTTATTAAAGGTGAAATTCTAATTATCTTAAGAAAAAGAGCTGTGAAAGAAGGAATTTCAATGCTTTTTAATCGAAAACATAGATGTTTTACATAGCTCGATATCTAAAAACAATAATATGTCAATGGAATGAATATCTTTGATTTCAAAAATTGTCTGTATAGATATTTATATAGATTATCGATTCCACATGATTTATCAATTCATAGACAGATTTTTTCATTCATTGGTTGGAAATCTTCTCTAGAAAATCTAGATTTGATGATAGAAAACAATTAGCTGTAGATTCCTTTCAAATAAAAATCTTTGTATACGGGTAAAATCTCTGAAAAAGATCGAGAAAATAGGTATACACTTCTTAAGAAAATATATAAGATCCCCGAAAAGTATCTTCAGTCAGTTTCAGATCGATTAGCTTTTCATTGATAGTGGAAAGTCTTTCCAAAAATATGTGCATACATATGTATATTCGATTATAGCCATAGATTTCATTCAATTAAGATTTTCTTTTTGGGATAGAAACTTCAGAAAAATATCTTTAAACGATCTATATATGTATCTGTTCCACCAGAATATAACTGTTCTGAAGATCGTAGAAAGATACGAAGATTTCTAAAAAGTATGCAATCAGTAGATATGTAAAATATGAGATTCTTCTCAGATCTACCATACACACGTAAAAGAATTAACACACAAAAATGGTTCTTATAAACGTTTCACTTTATTCAGAGATGGGTTCAGGATGTTATTTTTCGTGGGGGAGTCCTTACAAGAATTCCCTGACGTAAGGCACCGCATATTGTGGCACATACTGCGAGTAGGCGCCAGCGGAGCCATACGATGGAGCTGGGGCCGAGCAGGGGACGGGCTGCAGGGAGGGCTGGCAGCTGAACAGATAGTTCTTGGGGCATGGCGGCGATGGGATGCCTGCGGGGGCAGCATACGACGGGGCGGCGGGTGCAGCGGGTGCGGAGTACGATGGAGCAGCGGGTGCGGCGTACGATGGAGCAGCGGGTGCGGAGTACGATGGAGCAGCGGGTGCGGCGTACGATGGAGCAGCGGGTGCGGAGTACGATGGAGCAGCGGGTGCGGAGTACGACGGAGCAGCGGGTGCGGAGTACGACGGAGCAGCCGCCGGGGCGCCATAGCCACCACCATAGGCGGCCCTCGACACACGGATATTCTCCGCCAACGGTGCCGGGATGAGGATGCCCTGCGTCGGCTGCAGCTGAATGGTTTCCCCGGCAACGGCGCCCACAACGGCGGCAATGAGGAGGATGTTACCAATATTGAAAGCCATCTTTAGGAGTGTCTTCGGGAGCTGCTGTCTGTCTTTGCTTTGCGAACGAAGCAGGTTGACTGTTGGCCAAGTTCGCTGCTGGAACGAACTTTATAGCCCTCATTGGAAAACTGCAGACATGGAAAAACTGCAAATGGAAGCAGCAGTAGTCCGCTGCGACGGTCCCAAAATGCTGACAATCCCAGAACTAAAGTTCTAGTCTGAAGTTCTCCTCGATTCGCTGTGGAGGTAACACTTTGATTCCACATACAACATCATTTTAGCGATGATCTATTACTGGTTGCTGGTGGCTTGGATGACCTTAAATCTGATGGATGGCTGTACGGTGGGGGCTTCCGCATCGATGGCACAGTTTCTGGAGCGACCCCATGAGGCGGCGGAGCAGAGTTGGTCGTATCTTTTGCCCACAAACTTTTATTCGGAGATCAACCAGCAGTATTATAGGAGATTTCGGAGGAGAGCGAACCTTAAGAAGAATTTTCCAATGCCATACAGATGGTATCCCTTTGAATATGCAAGATATATATGAATAAACCATGGAATATAAGATATTTATATGAAAAATCGGTGAAAGGGAGATTTAATATGAAAATAAACCGTGAATAACATAAACATTTTGTTTGAAAATAATGAATAATAGAATAATTTGTATTTAATGCCTTTAATGCGAAAAATATATGAAATAGCCCTTGAAAATTTAAGATCTCCTATTAAAATATAGTAAAATAAAGTAAAGATAATAAAATGTGAGTGTTTTCATTCTTATAACGGTATTTTGGAACGATTACCAACACTAATCGCGTATCGATAAACGATTGCAAGGCAGAACACAGCGCATGACCGCTAGGGGGCCACCGTTTGACGTCACTACAGTCGAAGGACAACAGAAGCAAACAAACCCCCAGGACAACCAAAAGGCTTGACATTTAGTAAGCCTACTCTAAAAAGGAACAAACAAACGATTAAGGATATTTAAGGACCAAAAGATGAAGCTCACACGCGGACGTTACACGTATCTTTTGATGGCCCAAATGGCACTACTCGCTGGAGATTTGTTCTTCAATGCCTTTGGGGCATCGCTGGCCAGGAATCATCTACAGACATCCATATTTTTCTTTGTGTGAGTAAAACAGAGCAGTAAAACAGAACGTTTTCTTTAATGAAAGACGTTCCCTCCTGCAGCACCCAAGATGCATTGATTATTGTCGAGTATTTACTCTTCACTTTGGCCCTGCATTCGACGTGTGTCTATCAAGTGGGAGCCTCGCATATAATTCTGAGGAATTGCAAGCTCTTTTTGGGAAGCATTACCATATATTTTCTGCTCTCGGCGTCACAGCATTTCTGGATCGTCTATCAGAGTCGATTGTCGGTGGCAGAGAATCAGAATCAGGAATGGCCTTTGGGTCTCTATGCATTGGCTGTCATCCATCGAATAAGTGAGTTCAAGGATTTCCCTTAAAGGACAGCAATAGCTGATGGGTTTTCTCCCTCTTTCAGTGTCGGTTTTCTATTATTATAGCTCCAAATCGACGGCTTTGACAATGGCAGATCCCCGCTACAAGGAGGAACATCTTGATTGGATTGCAGAGCAATTGGGGGATAAGTAAAGCGATTAATCAAAAGATAATAGAAAATGTAAAAAGATAGATAATGGAAAATGGGAGAAGATTGAGTGAAAAATCAGGATAAGTATTTGGAGTGCACAAAGAAGCAAGAAGTTCAGAGCAAAAATTGTGATGAAAATGCGCATACTTTATGTAATTAATGTATATATAAATGAATATTAAACTTATTTACAATTTAATAATATACAAATTAAAATGTTTTTTAATATTCCAGAAATTTTAAATATTTTTACCAATTTCTTATAAAATAAATTTTGATACCCGTGCCGCCATCTGTTGTTTGGTGGCTTCTACTACATGCGTGTGTACATTTCATGTAGAGTAAATGTAGAAGCCGGGAGCAAGGGATCTTTTTGGGACCATTTCTAGGGGACTCGAAGTGCAACATCTCTAAACATTTTATTCGAATGGGGAGTCTTTCTTCAAACTATTTGATCTGAAAACTGGTAATATATCCAACCCAGAAGTCAGATATACAACGTCCATTTCCTCAATCTAACATACGAGAGCTTCAATGGCCGGTTTATATTACAATATCCAGACGCTTAAATTGTTTTTTCTTAAGCTAGAAACAGTTTCCTTTTTTCATTTATTTTATTTATATACACTGCATTTTTGTAATTTTCTGCTTTTATATACACTAAAATATATATTTATTCTCTTTATAATTGCAGAGACTTCTCAGTGTTTTCATAAATATATACATCGTATCGTATCGTATCGTGGGTAAGCACCAACCATGTCTCTCATTAACCTTACACTCCATTATTTTGAAAGAAATCTACATACAGCCTAAAACATATAGAGGGTGTTCCGGTTCTAATAAAGCTTATCCACAGAACCTTCTTTCTGTGTGATATATTGGTCCCTTAAATACAGAGGGAAAGATATAGAGAATGCTACGTTCCCGAGTAGCTGAATGGCACTCCAAAGAGCTGCTCCCATGTCTGTCCTACGGCATTCAGACAGCATTCGGCATTGGCATAGGTCTCAAAGTTTAGTTTCCACATCTCGCACTTGTTTTCGGTTTCATCTATAAAGTTGATCACATATTCCACATCCGAAAGACGTTCCACATCCACGAGATTGCTCATGGGCTGCGTGAGACTTGGTGCCAGGGCCGATTCTTGGGTTTTCGCTGAAAGCCAATCCCATTTTCCATTGCCAGAGATATACAAATGGGAATCGGTGGTCAAGAGTAGACAAGGTTCAAAGGACAGGCCCTTCTCTTCGTTGCAACTCCACTGGCAGCTGGCGAGGATTGCACACATTTTCACAGGCTCCGAGGACACAGATTTCAGGACAGCCGATGACTGCTGCAACACTTGGCATTGCGATGGCAGGGCATTTTCTGGGCGGAAGAGAAAAAAGATTTACAGATGATTAGTATATTTATTTGAGTCCTGCATGAATCAATCACAGTATCAATCACAATTCAATACACTGCATCGAGGCTTATGTGGTAATGTCTTGTTGGCATCAATCATCAGGAAGAGGTTATTATACTGATAAGAGTTTATTTCATCAAATATTCGCGAGAGATAGCAAAAAAAATTGCATTTGGCGCTGTGTTGTGGGTATAAAAGAGTCAATCAACGAGAAGAATTATTATAGACTTGTTGAAATGCTTCTGAGATACACTGGACTCTTTGCCTTCGCTTGCTTGGGATTGTTTTCCCCCATAGGGGCAGCTAATATAGCAGCGGACACAGATGGTGAGATCACGAGGAATCATTAGCCAGCACTTTACATGTCTTTGGACACATATGTATTTTAGGAATTTCCCGATCGAACTTAACTCTTGGTCCATTCGTTAAGATTGGTAATGGATTGTACTACATAGAGGTGATGCTACAAAAGAACTGGTTTGACGCCTACGAATCTTGTCGCCGCATGGGAGCTGCATTGATCTCCTTCGAGACCATCCTGGAGTGGCATTTGGTCAATATGTATCTCTTTAAAATGAATATCTATGATAGGTATTGGACTTCAGGCAATAATTTATCCAATGGAGGCAGACATACTTGGCATTCAACGGGAGCACCCGTGACACTGGACATCTGGGCTCCGGGGGAACCCAATAACGATGGGGGAAACGAGCACTGTGACGAATTGGGATACTTAGGGACCAGCACGAATTACAATGTATTTAATGATAAAGATTGCTCAGTGCAGAGGCGCTATATTTGTGAGGCACTCTAGCCTATAGACAACAAAAATTGAAGGCTCGTTAAGATAGAAAAAGATTGTGATAAATATAGATTGCTTTTCCTAACTTATTGGGCTCTTTGCGACTCTCTAGCCGCTATATAGAGTATTTTTCTGGGTGCTACTCAAAACTAATATACTCCAATACTCTTCGAGTAATCTCCATCATGGACTTACCTTGCATATAGAGCAGCAAACTATCAGTCCTTAGCATATCGTGCAGCAGCAGAACGAAACCTCCCCAATCTCTGAGGCTAAAGGACAGACCCAATTTCCAGGGTAGCACACCAATGGAAAACAATCGATCCACTGTGACGCTGATGAGCTGTCTCAACCATTTGGATACATCGTCGTGGGGCGCTCCAAAGGCCTCCATTAGATACAATTTACAGGTGGACATCACAACGAGACCCTCGGTCAATGTCTGCGTTTGTTCGTTGTAGATCCAGCCTTTGGCCAGCCACTTGAAGTGTTCGTCCTGCTCCTTGAACTTCGTTTGATAAAAGTACAGCTTCAGGCGATGATCAATGTCGTTAAAGTTGCTGTAATTGAATTTGTAAGGGTGCATGCCCGACGATGTTGATCCACTGCTGGCCTCTGAATCGATCAGTTTCTTCGAGCTGGACATCAGGAGGTTTGTGGACTGGAAGACTGAGGCAAAGGGCAGCATGGGCCGCTCTTCGACTTTCTTTAAATTATTATTATTATTGGAGGATTCCTTGGCACCCTCCTTTTGCTGTTCGTAGGTGGTGCAAATGCTGTCTGTTACAGAGCCTGAAGAGGAGCTTTCTGTTAGCTGCACTTGTGACACAGCTGGAGGGGGTGTTGGTGCCACAGCTGCTGCTGCAGCTGCTGCCTCTTCCTGCCTCATCTGCTGCCCGAATTCCCGCTCTATAAAGCTTTGCGTCTCATCATGCAACGCCTGCAAGTGCGGCAACTGCGAAATGCGACGATCTTCTGAGGTCTTTCGACTGGCACTCTGCACACAATTGGGATCCAGCACCTCTATGGAGGATTGGCTTGGATTCGAGATGATATCCACATCACTTTCATTCGCACGGAACTCGAGATCGCGATCTGTGTTGGAGCTACCCACAACCGACTGATTGGAGTCGAAGGAGCTCTGGGAATTGGTGATTTTCGAACAGGAGCTGCTTTCATTCAGGCTATTGGCGGAACCTAAAGGAGGCAGGAGAATAGAGTTGATATATTAGTGGGGTTTGTTGGAAGATTTCAAGGTTTTTCTAATGGAAGCAGCATTGTTTTTAGGAATTTTCATTGATAATTTAGTCTTTTAAGGGAAAAGTTTGAAAATGGCCGCAAAGTTCTAGGAAGGAGGTGTTTTGGAGGTCCTCTGTGGGTCGATATATTACAGAAATTCTAGATTCTAGAGACCTCTAGCAAAACACTCTTCCCTCCATATATTTGAATGGATTTTTCTTAGATAAATATCTCTTTTCCCTGAATGCTGCTTCACATCATCATAAATTAATGAAAAAGTAAAACGGAAAAGCAAAATGCAAAAAGTAAATGAAAAGAAGAAAAACTTAGTACAAATCATTGGCATATTAACTTTTAGTGGCTTGCATCAAACTCCTACGCTTGGGTGTGTTTTTAGCGGTTGTTTTAAGCCTGGAGAGGGCCACTATTAAATATTAATAATCAAATATATATATTACAATTATTATTACAGCAATTAATAATGTTATTTTGTTGGGTTTTGGTTGTTTTTGGGGTGAGAGAACAAATGATTTAAATATACATAAAGTTAGTTTTCGTTTTTGCCATATTTTCGATTTTGTGTGTGTTTTTGCATGCAAAATAAATAAAAACGAGAAACAAGTGAAACAAAATTAATATATAGAATTTATGAAAAATTATAAATGAAAATTATATAAATTTTTAAGAAAATCTTTTAATATTTAAAAATAAAAACACTAAAAATCTATATAAAATCCATAAAACCTTAAATAAAACTATTTAAAATCATTAAAAATTGATAAAAAGCGTATACAAGTTTAAAAAAACCAAAAACCATATTTAAAAATATATTAAAAATTTGGAAAATCGACTGAAAACCATTTAAGATCTACTTAAAAATCCTTAATCTTCACATGAAATGTCAATGAAATATTTAAAAATCCTTTAAAATGGTAAAAAGATGTTTTAAATGTCTTAGAAATGGCAAAACACACAAAGAAAAATGCAAAAAAGAAACCATAAACCATAAAATTCTAGGCATAAAAATCAAAAGAAAGTCGTTTTAAAATGTTTCCAAAATTTGATCAAAATAGAAAAGAAGACTGGCCAAGGACTTGCCAATGCTATTGGTTTCCTCCTTAATCGGTGAGGCCCCCATCGCAGGCGACTCCTCCACAATCAAGGCTGGCGACAATTTGGGTTCTGCGGCCACCTCCACAGATGGTTTATCCAGCGATGTGGACAGATCTGTGACCTCTGCCACATGAACACTGCGACAGTCGGGACAACGTAGCTCTAAAAGGTGGATAAAGAACGTTGTTTAGGATCGTATTTCAATAGTGTTCTGTGCCTTACGCTCTGTCCTATAACGCTTGATCTTTTGTTCCATTGAGAATTGTATCAAACAATTCACACAGCGATAGATTTTGATGTTCATTTCGGTGAGATCCCGTTGGGAGAGTATGTCACGGAGTTTCTTTTCCAGTTCCTAAAAGAATACAGAGAATTTTTGTTGGGGATTTGGGGGCTTTTGGAATGGTGTGTTTTGCCATACCTGGCACAATGTATTCTCCACACAGTAGATACGCTCCTGCTTATCCTTACGAAGGGTATCGAAATTAATGCGCAAAGTATTTGATTTTAAACGCTCGCAGGACTCGAGGATTTTGAGGCTCCATTTGGTTTTGGTTCTTGGGGAAATAAAAGGGAGGGTTGAGGGTTATAGCTCAGTCGAATTTTCATAGATTTTCCCATACCGTTCACTCAATGTATCCTTTTCGCGTATGAAATTGGAAGATATCGTCAAAAACAAAGGAACACTAGGCTTGTGCTCAAGATAGACTATGTAGGTCTCCTCATCGGGCTCCATATCGGAAACTGCAAAGAGGCAAGGGAACATTAGACGTAGGAGAGATCTTCTATAACTTTTTAGTTGCAGATTCTACCTGGTTCCTCTTCCTCTACCGCATTGGATCCGCTGGCATAGAGACTCAACAGGTTTTTGTGCTTATCTTGAGAATGATCCCCCTCCTCCTGCTCCTTCTTCTCCGTTTGATCCTTCTCCTCTGACTGCTCCTTCGTGCTACTGATAATGCTTTCGTATTGGGTCTCCCCGCTCTCATCACAGGTCTCGTAAAGCGTTTGATTGGCTGTCTCCTGGGTTTCCTGGGTCTCCGATTTAATGGGCGTCAAAGTGTTGTCGAAGGAGGCGCCCCAGGCGCTGCTGTTGTTTGTGGGAGTGGAACTTACATTTAGATTTCCCTGAGGGTCCTTTTTTGTCGGCAATGGTCCAGAGAATTCCCCCAAGAACTCGTTGAACTGCTGGCGAGAGGCATTCCTCTCTTTTTCGCTGGGTTGCGGCGACTCTATACCCAGCATGAGCTCTGCATTCCCCGTCTTTAGCCACTCATTGCCGTAGGTGAGCCTCAGGGTTTCGATTTGTTTCTTGGTCTCCAAGTGCCCGGAATCTGTGGAGCATTCCTCTCCCTCCGGTTGGGGCTTGGGTGGTGGTAGAACTGCTGCCGCCTCTGCCACATCGTCGGTGTCTTCGGAGATGTCTGCTCGACGGATTTTACTGAGGCTTTTCTTGGAGTTTTGCTTTTTGCTGCTCTGCGAGGTGTCCAAGGAGGTCGTTTGCTCTGTGTTCAGGGAACTAAAGCTAGAGAACTGTGAGCCATCGCAGGTGTTGATAGAAGTGCTGGAACTATTGATGGACACAGGACCACTCCTCGGCCCACGATGGGAGCCTATGTAGCGCCACCTTTGACTGCCAGTCAGGGCCTTTTCCGCCTTGGAGAGCGGCTCAAAGTCCAGGACAAACTTCACCGAAGCCGTATTCTTGTGCAGATATATTGCTGTGGCCTGGCGATGCTTGGGGTTGCACGACAAGGGATTACCCTGTAGATTCAGCATGGTCAGGGTCATCAAGGCACTGAGCGGCAGAAGCTGGGAGTGCTCCAACAGACAATTATCCGATAGGTCCAGAGAGGTCAAGGCATCTAGCTTGGCCACATCCAGCAGCTCCTCCACATAATTATTGCTAATGTTCAACAGTTGCAGCTTCTTGCAAGCCTCCATGTGAAACTGTGGCAGATATGTGAGGCAGTTGTAGCTCAGATCGAGGGTCTTGAGATGTGGCAACCATTTGATGGCTGCCACCGAGATGAGCTTGTTGTGCCGCAGGTTGAGATGCTGCAAATGTTGGGCAAACTCCAGGGCCGTATCCACGCTCCTCAAAGAATTGTAGCTGAAGTCTGCCGATTGCAGTTCATTCCACACGAACCCATTGGAGTTGTCGCCGCCACAGCGGGTGATTATATCGTCCACACTGGCCAGACTCTTGACGCAAATCAAATGCTGGAGCTGGCCACGGAACGGTTGGATGCCCACCACTTGATTAATGTTGATTTTATGGACTTCCAGGCGCCGCAGGGCCCGAAATTTGGCTATATCGATGGCACCCTCAAAATAAAGTTCGCTGGGAAAATAGGTTAATTTTAGCAGCGTGGTTTTCTGCACAAAATCGTGCAACAGCTGCAGATCTGGGAAGACACTGGACTTGGCATTGATGGGCTTAACCACCTGAAAGATCGTCTGCTGTTGGTGCTGATGATGGTGATGATGATGCGTCGTGTGAGTGCCAGCCCCAGCACCAGCAATGATTTCCGTATCAGCAATCAATGTAAACGAATCATTTAAAGCACGCAGCAGGGAACCTGTTGGGAAAACAGAGAGGAAAATGTAGCGGGAAATAGTATAGTGATAAGGCGTGGCACGGCACAGGCATCAGCCAGTGACCGCATGATGGATTGTCGCAGCATTCTCTGCGTAGTAGGGCTCCGATTTCCCTCTCACCTGATAATGTTAGCGTAAATTCGGAGCTCAATATTTTATCACCGTTCTGTCGCAGTAAATTTGCCAATTCGGTGATTTTTTGTGGATCCATGACGACGCGGGAATAGGGGGGTACAAATCAGCTGTGACTTTGAATTTTGTTTTGATATTCTTTAGATATTCATTTTTCCCCAAGTCATCTCCATATAATATGCATCGGGTATTTTCAGACACAAATCTTTTTAGCACGTATGTTTTGGGTGCACAAAAACAACAACAAAGAGAATTATGACGCCATTTGTGGTGGCAGGTCTTAATAATAAACCAACATTTTTCCGTTTTAATTATAGATTTCCATAGGATTTTCTTTTATTGCATCACCGATCGTATGAAGCTGCGGTTTTTGATGATGTATTGCGGTTTCTATGATTGACATGAGCGGAATATTCCGCTTTTTACTTTTTTACAATGCAAATAAAAATTAACTTTTGTTATGCTTCTTCTTCTTGCCAGTCCATGGCAGTCACAGCGGAACGCGGGAGCACAGAGTTGCTTTGACTCAACAGTTAATGTTGTTAAGCGGCAGCAGATTGTAGATAGTGTTGTAAGGGATGAAAAAGCGCGGTGTTTGAATTCAAATTTGAAATTGATTTTAAAAACTGGGGAAAAGAATGAAAATTTAAAAAGAGACGAGTTTTTGGGGCGGTAAATATCAAAGCATTGAAAATAAATGGATTTCTATGGCAGCTATAGAAATAGAGTCAACCGATTTAAATTCATTAGCGTTAGTCATATACAAAAATAGATAGGTTTTTAAAAAGATTTTTCTCATAAGAAATTCCTTTTCGATTCCCCAAAAAATATATATAAATTGACAAAAATTAACATTTTTATTTAACTACTCAGCTTTTATTTATGTAACACTTTCTGTTTAATTTTTTACATTTACAAAATAATTATAATTTGCTACGCAATCTTTGATTAAAACATTGCTACAAAGACGACCCAAAAAAATTCGACTTTCATTCGATTCGATTTCCGATTGTTCCGTTTCGATTGTTGCCGAATGTACGAGTATTACTCTTGGCCACAAAATGACAAATATATATCTCATTTTCTTTTGTTTTATTTAGGTACAAGCGCAATATACATATGTATCTCATGGCTAACTAAGAATTAAAAACAAGGCTAAATTAAAGCAGACTTTTTGGTGGTGTTTTCTTGTTAGTTATTCCTCTTGTGGTTCATTTAAGGATATGCGTGGGAAGTGGATTAAAAGAATTGACTAAATTAACTAATATATTAACAACCTATACAGATTCCTGGGGAGTTTTATTTGTTAAAAGTTTTCTTCTTTAGAGTTTCCTTTTTTAGTTTTTCACTGAGCTTTCTGTGGTGTTTTCTTCCTTTAAGTTTAACTTTTTTACTTTATTGATTTGTGCTGAAAAATATACATTTATTCTCGGTTTTTTATCTGTGGGTGCATAAAAATGTTAAAAACGTTTCGCCTCCAAACCTCTACAAAGTTTGCCTGGGAAAAAGAGAGGTTTAAAACATTAATATATATATTTTTTGTTGGTTTATAAATGAATAACTTTAAAACATTCTTTTGATTGAAAAAGAAAAATTCGTGCTTTTGGAACTCAAACTGAAAATTGCAGAAAAATGTATTAATCGATTTGGAGTTTTTCTTTCCGATACGTACTGCTCTCTTTGCCGATTTTGGTAGCTGCCAATATTTCAAAATTGATTTATTTTAGTTCGTAGGAAAATACGATTTCGAAATGAAGGATAGACATTCGTTTTTTTTTTTTTTTGTATGGTATGTACAAAATATTGTATATTTTTGTAATATTTTATTCTTTTATTCTTAACAAATCTCATTTTTAATGTTTCAACAAATATATGACACTTTTATGGTTTTAGTTTTTTAACAATAAAAAACACTTTTACACGATAGAAAACAATTGAAAAATATTTATATATGTATATAGAAAAACGTTTGAAATGCATTTTGATAGTCGTAGAATATATATGAATGGATTGATGACTTGACTTTTGACTTTGGATCGATTAATGATCGATAAATGATCGATGGATATCGAGTAGTATTTACAATCTTTTTAGGGGGCGTGTGGTGGGGTGTAACACAGTGGTTTTGGTTTTGATTTTTAGAGTTTTGGCGACGGCATGATGGACGTATCCCTATGAGAAAATAATATATAGAAAAAGAAGAGAAGAAAAACAAATCGTTTTATGAATGAAAACAATAATTGTTGTTGGTTGTATTAGTAAATGTCTACAGAAACGTGTATGGATATTAAACAAAGGACATTGATATGAGTATGACTGATATTTCTGATATGATGGTGGGGGATATGTTTTCGATAGAAAAAAAATGTACAAACACTTCATTTTTGATTTGGATTCAATTTTTGAATAATTTAGAATAATTTTTTTTATTCAGCTTTTGTTATGGGTTTTAAAATTAAGCTTATTTTTAGTTCAAAATTACAAAAGAATAAAATTAAAAATGCGGGTTAAAACATTCCAGAAATAAGAGAAGTGCAACAACTTAAGACTTAAACAAAAAAGAAGTTGGAAAACTTAATAGTAGGTTAGATAGGTTTTATTCAAGAAAAGAGGAAGATAATGTTAAGATTTTCAACAAAATAATGAATACAACATTATTTTATTAAAACAATAAGGAAATCTAAGATTTTAAAATAAAATAAAGAAGAAAACATAAGTTTTATTCAAGAAAGAGGTAAAGAAAGTACATAAAGTAGAATCTTATGTTTTATTAAAAGAGAAAATCAATAACTATGGATTTAAACAAAAAATAGGAGGAAAACTTAAGGTAAAATAAAAAATAAAGAATGAAACTCAAGTTACAAAAGAAAATAAAGGATAGAACTTAAGTTTTAAATCAAAAGAAAAGTCGAAATACAGGAATTTTGAGTAAGAAGCAATAGCCAAAGAGCACTTATTGGGGAGGAGTGTTGCAGGATATACAGGATATACAGGATTCAGGCGAAAACGTAAACGTAAACGCAAGTGCAAAAGAAACGAATACACTGAAAGAAACGCAAACGAAAACACTTACATATGCTCGGGATGATTGCGTATGCAATCGATTAAATCTTTAGGCTTAAGCTGATTTGTGCATATCTTATGAATGGCCGTAAACAGGGGGAATCTAGAAAAGAGAAGAGAAAGACACATCATAAATACATATAGAATATAGGAAGGGTGTTGTGGGGTGTTCCGTACTTATCCTCCAGTTTCTTGTTCTTCAACATATAATTGACTTCCTCGGCAGTGGGTGGGCCCTGGAGTTTTTGGCCATTTAACATTTCCTTTTCGAGTTCTTCGATGGTTTTGCCCGAAGTGACAAACGCCTCAGAGACGCGACGATTGCGACCACCTAAGTAGCAGATAGGATACCATCAAATAAATAGATCAAAGTCTTATATCTTCGGGGGTATACCCACCGTAACACGTCGTAATGAGATCCGCCACACCGCAGCTCTCGAAGAAAGTCGACAGCTTGCTGCCTGGATAAAAGACATCGACAAAACGAATCATTTCCATCAGACCCAATCGAATGACAGCCGCCTTGGTGTTGTCGCCCAGCTTCAGGCCATCCACAAAGCCCGCACCGCAGGCCACAATATTCTTCAGAGCGCCACACACCTCCACGGCATCGGCATCGTCCACAACAACGACGCGGAAATGATTCGCCTGGAAGAGATCACGCAACACCTTGCCATACTTTTTGTCCGTGCAACCAATTGTGGTCTCACAGAAGTTGCCCTCGGCCACTTCATTGGCCAGATTGGCGCCCATCAAGACAGCGCATGGTATCTACAGGAAAGCAGAGGGACAAGATAGATGTTAGAGATAGATATAGGGGTCACCTTCTGTACCGACCGTTCATTGGCTTACCTTCAAGTGACGCGTGATTATGTGCGAAATGAGATCAATGCCACCTCCTTCGGCCTTATCGAAGCCCTTGATCAAAGATATGGCAATGGCATTTGGCTTGATTTTACCCAGCAATTGCTTACAGAAATTGGGAATGAACTGATGTGGCACTACGAAAATGAGTATATCAGCATTCTTGGCAGCCTCCACAAGATCGGGCACGGCCACCTATTCAAGAGATAGAGAGAGAGAGAGAAATTTGGCTAATTAGTTGTACTTTTTTGATAAGAGAAACAATAGAAACAGCAAGGGTAGTGACATAAAAAACACTCCGATAAGAGTTTTATTCAAGGTTGAATGAAGGGAACCTTTTAGGAGACGTTGGGAGCGACGCCTAAAATCAGGAAAATCATTTTTCAAACACGTGCGCCTTTTTGGAGGCACGTCTCTGGCTCGTTTCGGTCGTCGTCTAGACTATGCAAATCGTTGTTGATTATATTATCAATCGTTTTATATACTATAGTTATAGCACGTCTATATATAGTGCATATCTGGAACCTGTTTGTCCACCGCCTCAACGTTTGCTTTGTGCCTTTTTCTATCAACTTTCGAGGTGGCTCTTTCCTTATTACCTTTTTGCTTTGTGGCTTTTGCTCTGTTAGCTTGTTTTCTTATTTTTGCATTGGACTTTTATATAAGCGTAAAGTTCAGGTTAAACGTTCAGGCATTTTGAAATGTCTTTTTAGATAACACAAAGCATACTCGCATGAAGGTTGGTTGGTTGGTTTTTTTTTTGTAATAGTTTTTTGATTAAAATAAAGGTAGAAAAGTTACATATGAGCGGATCTTTTTAACCGTGGAAAAGGGGTTTTTGATTTAATATTTAAGTAAAATTTCTAATGATATATCGACAATTTTATAGAAATTAAAGCAGAAAAACGCCCTTAATTTAATCTCTTTCATCTGTAAACCATTTCTGGAATCTACTAATTTAATTATCATACTTTTATGACAACTATAGCTCCAATTATCAGCAATTAGACCTCAAATCTTTAAAATCGTCGAAATATCTAAAATTTCGTATATTTCTTGATTCTTATTTGCATATTTGTTGCATTTCTGACATTGGTCTCGTTTATGGCTAATACAAATATACTTTTCTCATTTGTTATTGTGTTCTGTTGCTGTGATGGATCCCCCTCAACCTATCCCCAATCCCCCATTTCACACCCTCACACCACAGAAACAGCTACTGAAAGTTTGCCAATTTTATATCGTATATAATATATGGCGCTACATATGTATGTATGAATGGTACATATAGGTGAAGGCGTCTAATTATACAGACAAACAAACGACAAAAACAGAGTATCTATAGAATGGAGGAATGATGTATGATGTGTAGCCTATCGTTGTACCCTACGAAATGCAGAGATATAATTACGTACAGCACTATAAAGTGTTTTATCTCTGATAAGAATCATAAATCATTTAGAGCTGCGACCATTTTAGGAGGTTTTTTGTTACCTATAACACTCCTCTAAACTCCTATAGGTGTTTCTTTATAAGACCTAAACGTTTCATTCGGATCAGACAAGACATCTCCCGAGAATTTCTTCTTAAAAAAAAAGCTTCAATATGTTTTCGAGTCGACGATATCATAGCAAAAATCTCTCTTAAAGGGTATCAAAACCCTCTAAACACCCTCCTTTGATTCATATGTATTTAGTTTTTTTCCACATACATATTTTTATCAATCCATGCCACTAACCTAACGCATGTCTCCTACTACCAGCTGTGTTTAATCTATAGGGCGGGTCTCTGCGTTTATGGAGGTCTTGTTTTTCCGAGTTAATGCCCAGAACTTACAGGCTGTTTACATCGGACAAACATGGGATACACACGGACATTGGACAGTAGACATGGGTTGGACGGCTACTAGTCTCTGGATCGAGGGATGGGACTTAATCAGCAGCGAATGTGGAGTTCATGTTCTACATGAACGGCAACAAGTGTTGGCTGTGCTTATCGATAATCAGCAAATGGAAATATTCGAGTGCTTTTTATATACGTAAAAATACGGCCATTTCAAGCGGTCTTCGTTAGAACGTCTCTTATCGGTTCGGCGCAATTATTGCTTAATAGAATATTGATACAATTTAGCGACGTGCCCTTTCCAGGGAGTAGCAGGAGAAAGGTCTTGCTCACCTTGAAGAAATACAACTTGAGTAAAGGTCTTCAAAGGCGTCATAGGAAATTGCTTTTGTTCGATTGCTGTCAAAGAAAATAGCCCAAGCCGGCCTTGACCTACGACAAAGGCAACTTAAGAGAGAGTCATCCAAATGTAAGCTTAAGAGAAAGCCATGCCGCTGGAGCTTTATAGAGTGCAAGGGAGATGGAGCAAGATTTAGAGAGTGCAAAACGAAATGACAGCTAAAGAAAAAGAGTGCCAAAGTGGCCAGAGAGAGAGAGAGAGAGAGAGAGAGAGAGAGAGAGAGAGAGCACAATAGAATGCAAGCCAAAGGAAAAACAGAGAAAGGCATACACAAAAGAGAGGGATCTGCATTGAAGCTGATACTTTTCATGCCCTTGAAGAGGAGGTGTATTGGTTTCAAACAGATGTTTGTAACCAATACATACAAATTTATATTCTTGATTGGAATCAACAACCGTATCGAAGCGCGTGTTCTGTGCGTGGGTTTTTATAAGAACTTGATTCTCAGATGGGTAGGTTTTCAGCCTGAAACTATTCTCACAACCATACTTCTTTACTTCTTTTAGAGAAAATTAAACACGTTATGTAAATATTTCATTGTTTACAAATATTTCCTTTCAACCTACATATCTACTACCATAGAAACCCTGCTGCTTGAAAGGTATCAAAAGCTTCGATACCCTCACAAAAGCTAACCTTGTTTTCTCTTTATTGCTTGTTTGTTGTTCCTGGCCCTGAAAAACTGCAGTGATGCAAACAAAAAAAAAAGAGAAAACATTTGAGTGCAACAAAAGAGAGGCCGCAAAAAGAAAGAGGCCGTGCGAGAGTGTAAGGTGTAAAAATAGATGTGCATTTGTCTGATTAGATAATTTGCCGCCTGCACGAACTGACGATGACGGTCAAGATCAAGGCAAAGATACGTTTATGTAAGCCACATGTATGTTAATCCGCAAACACACACACACACGAACACAGAGGTATTACATAATGTATTACACATTTATCGAATTCCGAATTCCTGATACAAATCGTTTTTTAGCTGTTAATTAACAGCTGTTTTGGATGGTTTGGATGCTCTTATCACACTTACCACATTTGGTGGCAGCTTGTGCCCCTTCAGGTATTTGACATTCTCGTGCGTCTCATTGATGATTTCCGTGAGCTTCTTGCCATCAATCATCTCCTCGTAGACGAACATCGTTACCCGCTCCTCGAATTCGGGCAGAGCAGAAGCATTGGCGCCCACAATTTTCGCTATGGCCGAACCCCTGGAGCGATTGATGCAAGGTTACAGAGGGTGGTGGGGGAAGAGTATAAGGATAAGCATAATGCAATTATTTATTATATAAATAAAAGAGGGGTTGCCAGGGGGCAGGGCCAAGGGCCAAGGGCAGGGATGGCACTCACCAATTGCCGGAGCCCACAATGCACACATTTACTTTATCCGCCATAATTATGTTCTGAGAGTGCTATTCTGTAACTACTACTATATGATTATGTATTTCCTAGAGTTATAGTTTTCACTTTGTTTCGCGTGTTTGGCGCCCGCTAATTATTTAATTATTTATTGTTTATAAATGTTGACACGTCGCCACGGCACTGTTGAGAGATTTAACTTAATTTTCTGCCCGTCGACTTTATATTGTTTATAATCAGTGTGACCTATCGATAAAATATACCGTCCCACCCTCAGAAATATACCGAAACATACCGTCTTACTTTGAAAATATACCGTAGATATACTGACGAGCTCAAGTTCCATTAATATTCCTCAATTTTGATATTCTGTCGAAAATTCCCAGCTATATAGAATATTAAGCCATGCCCACATAATTTTAACCGATTAATGAATCAATTTTCTACTTAACTGGCTTATTCTAAATACTTTCTTTTATTGGATTTTGCGTAAAAAAAGGTTTCAGCGAAATTGGTCAATCCAAAAAAAAACGAAAGTCGTTCATACTGCTCAATTTAGAGATTCCGTTGAAGAATTCTGGCTAACTAAAACCTTAAGTTTTGCCCACATAATTTTAGGCCATTGATTAATCAATTTTCTACTTAACTGGCTAGTTTTTAGTTCATGCTTTTATTGTATCTTGACTAAATCAAGGTTCAAACAAAATAGTTCAACAAAAAATAACAGTCGCAATGTTGCTGGTATTTGAAGACATGTTGCGTGTATATACCTCTGTACACCCTATATCGTTAATTTTATATGAAGATAAAACGTAGTTTATAAGGACCTTTTCTCAAATTGATATTCTTTAGTCATATTCAAGTACATTATTAGTATCTTGTATATATTTATCTCGATCCTGATACATACGGAGCCTGGGATGACAAACGTTTTCAAATTTCTATAATAAGCTTTTCCATAGGGTATGAGAATTAGTGTTGCCGGTAATTATTGTTGTCAGCCGGTTATTTACCAATAAATACTCGTTTACGATCTTCCGTCGAATATTTCCAGCTATATAGATATCTCAGTTTTGCCCAGATAAATTTATATGATTGATGAATCAATTTTAATCAGGATTAACTACTTTTGAGTACTTGCATGTGTTGTATTTTGACAAAAAGGCGGTTTCAACAAAATTGTTCATCAGTCGCAGTGCTGTGACGTCAATGTTGCTGGTATTTGCAGACTCATCTGTTGTCTACCAGGGTATGGTCGTTTGTATACCCTATTTCGTTAATAAAAGAGTATGTTGGAGCGTTACAACCATTGGGATACTGCCTTGACGGACCTGTACTTTAATCGGACATATGGTGATGATTGGGAACTGGTTTTCCCAACCATTGACCAGGTGAACTCTCCGGGAAATGTGCATATTGATGTGCATATTCAGGAGCTGGAGCAGATCCAGAATATTATTATTATTATTATTATTAATTTTATATGATTGATGAAACAATTTCCTACAAAACTAGTTAAATTTAAGTTTTCATCTTTATTCCATTGGTTTAAGGTTTAAGCAAAAATAGTCAACGATTTCTACATTGGTGCATTGGACAATAGGGTGAGTCAATACTGGAAAATACAAGAAAAATGTATACAACTTGCAAGGTGCACTTTCTTCAGCGGGGATATTTGATATTATTTTCCCGAGCGTGGTCCCTCCCTTCCATGAGCGCCAAATTTTGAATTCGCGCGCTCCCTTTTCATATTCAGGGTCCCGCTCTTCTCGCTCTCGTCCCACCCAACTACCGTTTTCTACTCACTCATAACTACACGTGCGGCCTTCTCTATTTTTCCCGGAAACTCTCTTTTTTTTCTTCCTCGTCCCGTTTCCTCTTCTCCCAAGCAACTCTCTAACTGCCTCCCAGGATCCACAGCAGATGCCGCTGTCTTCTCCTTCTCCAGCCCTGACTATCGGCTCTCTCCCAAACCGCCCATGTCATCTTATATATGCAGAAATGCAGAAACTATTCAATCTCTATTCTAAAGCTATTTCAAAGAAATTTTGCAGTTCTAACAGAGACTAATCACTGTCATTGTATCATGTCAATCTTTGAAAAAGATATTATTAATTACTATTCAACTTGGAAATAAGTATTTCAATATTAAATTACCGAAATAGGGTATACAAATGCCGATACACCGGTTGACAATTGTTACTTAAGTAACAAGCTTTCAAATACCAGCAACATGTAAGAAATGACGTGATGATCCATACGCACTTACGGCCTTTTTTGTTCAAACCTTTAGGCTCAATTTAATTAAAAGTATTTAAAATTAGCCAATCTTGTGCTTAGGACTGAGGGCCTTAGCTAGCTAGTAATATTAGCCCGAATATCAGGAATATCAGATCAATTAACCCATTGTGGACTAGGGGTTACTAAAATATTCCACCGAAAATTATGAATCTTTAAGAATTTCCGCGCAGTTCAGGTGAAAAACATCTTGGTATTTTTTTAAGTAAAGGTTAAGGATGGGATGGATCTAAAAAAAGAGTTTTCAAACAGTAGTATATTACGCGTTTAAAAGTTGTTCACATATTTAAATATAGCTTTTTAATGGTGCGTTTAGTAGGCTAAGGCGAACGTTCAACAGCACTGACAATTCTAAACGAAGGTGATTTCGTTTTATTTGAAGTAAGAGTAAGTTAACTTAAAACATAAAAAAAAAGTAATTTAATAAAACTCCACGGAATACAAATATAAAATCCTTCGGTATCCGCAGAAAAATTTAGCTACCAAGATGAGCAGCCAGGAAATCGACACGAGCTCTCCGGACTCCGTTCGCGCTAAGAAACGCTGCACCAAGAAGAAGAGCACCACAATCATATTCGCCGAACGCGTCTTGGCTGACATGGGCCGCTTCTGCATGAACGAACTATACTCGGACGTCACGTTCCTGGTGGAGGATGAGCGCCTCCCAGCCCACTGCATGATTCTGGCTGCGCGCAGTGAATACTTCCGCGCAATGCTCTACGGGTTCATGTCCGAGTCAAAGAAACGCGAAATAGAGCTGGTTGTGCCGTTGGAGGCATTTAAGGTAATCCTCGGCTACTTTTATTCGGGCACAATAAGAATTTCCACACTGGACGTGGATGTCACCCTCAAAGTGCTCGATGTAGCCAATATGTATGGCTTGGTGGAAGTCAAGTCGGCTTTATCCGACCATCTGCAGGAGCATATGGATGTTTCTAACGTGTGCAAGATTCTAGATGCAGCGCGCCTATACCATCTGGAAAATCTGACAGGGAATTGCCTCACGTTCATGGACAACAATGGAGCCGAAATGATAGAACATGAATCATTCCTAACACTGTCCAAGGACTCACTTGAGGAAGTGCTGCGACGGGACACTTTCATTGCCGACGAGCTGTATATCTTTCTATGTATATTGCAATGGAGTCAACAAAATCCGAACTCGGACATAAAGTCGGTGGTCTCGCTCGTGCGTCTCCCGCTGATGAGTGTCGACCAGCTTTTACATGATGTGCGTCCTCATGGAATCTTCGGGCCGGAAAAAATACTCGACGCCATCAATGAAGGTAATACCATCGACTCGGCCAATCTGCCCTATCGTGCCGTCGTGTGTCCAGGGGAGGATGTTGCTTCTTTCGAAAGACATCAGGCGTCCCGTTCGGTAATCAATGACAATGAGATCTCGATCGAGCTGAGATGCTGGTATAAAATCAACATAATCAGTATTCTAGGTACATTCGATCGTACATTAAATACCCTACAATGCGCCGTGGAGGTCTCTTGCGACATGACTAAATGGTCTCGCTTGGGAACTACCAGATTTACATTATCGCCCACCTGGCAGAATATCAATTTCACGACCCAGGCTGTTCGCTTCATTCGTATCGTGCATCCAGAGTCTGGACGCAAAAATATATTAAAATATTTGCACCTTAAAGCCTTTCTTGACAACACTGAGAACACTGATAACACTGAGAACACTGATAACACTGATAACACTGATAACACTGAGGACACTGAGAACACTGAGAACACTGTTCCCTAGAAGACCGATTTGGACATGTTTAAAGTAGAGAATCCTGCCGACTAAATTCCTGTAAATGTAATATGTTATATGTATATGTTATAGAAATAGCAAAATAAATATTGCTGATAATTGTTGTTCTCAAACAACTATCAACAACTATGTTCACTAAAATGTTCTTGGCCTCTTTGCATCGCCACCGATGATCCTGCCCGGTGCTTAAATAAGTGCCATCAGCATTGAAAGTAAGGCCGTTAATAACATAAAGCCTATAAGCTTTGAATCTGTTGTAACTTTCAGGCATTTGGATTTGAATAGAGATGTAAGAATATAAAATCGAAGAATCCATCCAACCTGTGCCAAATATTTTGTAATGACGCTCCGATCCGTTGACGCCTGATTGGCCGTTTCGCCCACTGTGCGCCGATTACTAAGCATATCACAAATTTAAATTTTAGCGGCTTTATTGGTTCACCAAAGGAACTAGTTCTAATGTTAGTGCTCTAAAAAGCGGCTACTGTCAAAAGCAGTTAAGAGTTGTGCAACGTTTTCTTCAAGGCGCGTAATTTGAAAGGAATAATGAAATATTCCTAAAATACAACCATTTTATTGAACTCTTAAATGATTATTACCCTCAGATTCAAATTTTTACATAAAAAATACTTCTACTACTACTATTAATGCTTGTAGGCCGCATGAATGAATATGGCATCAACATGGCGCTTTGCCCACGCATATACGGTGAACAGCAGTAAAAATGGGAAAACTATAAGGAAAATAAATTTTAAATCTATATAAATAATTTCAAAAACCACTCATTAAATCTTTCTGTTGGTGACTCAAAAAAAAACGAGGGGGAACGTTGTGAGTTGCTGCGGCTCTCCTCCGGCAGACGCCGCGAATATTAAACGACTCGACACGAGTGCGTTCGAGAGAGATAGAAAATAAAATTTTGAGATAAACGTTTTAGAGTGAGATCTAACAGGAGTGCAGATACCAAATTTGGTTGCTCTAGCCTTAGTTTCTGAGATTTGTGGAGGCCCCAGATTTTCTTCTTGTGCGGGGGCTGTAGGGGGTGTGACAAAATTCTGACACGAAACGGTCAAGGCCCGATATCATAGGCGTGTGGATACCAAATTTGGTTGCTCTAGCTCTTATAGTCTCTGAGATCCTTGAACTCACATTTTGCAATTGGCAAAACCGACCATGAAACCTGTGTGTTAGAGAGAGATAGAGCGAGAAAGAATGAAATTGTTTTCTTGATTCTGGCTATAATAATTATACGATCTGGTGCAGATATTACACACTAGAACATATAATCTTCCTCTATGTTCCTCTATTCTGCGTTTTCAGTTGTCTTGTATTTTTGAATTTGTGGATGCCACAGATTTTCGCCCTTTGTGGAGGCGGAAGTGTGCGGGGCAAAGTTTTGAAATATTCTCGTAACAGTAACATATCACAGAAGTCCGGATATAAAATTTCGTTAATCTAGCTCTTATAGTCTTTGAGCACTAGGCGCTGATAGGGACGGACAGACGGACAGACGGACAGACGGACGGACGGACAGACAGACAGGGCTCAATCGACTCGGCTATTGATGCTGATCAAGAATATATATACTTTATGGGGTCGGAAACGATTCCTTCTGGACGTTACACACATCCACTTTTACCACAAATCTAATATATCCCAATATTCATTTTGAGTATCGGGTATAAAAAGAACAGACTTCTATAGCTTCTGTGCCTTTAGCATTTCCTTTTCTACAAGCATTTCCATAAGACCCAAACTAGCATGGAATTTTTATTGGTATTGGTGAAATCTACAATGCCACGAGTTCTCCATGGTTTCTTGGTTACGCTTCACTTTTAAACACAAATTTTCATGGAAAAATCAACCGAAAAACAGTCGTTGATAATGTCCCGTACCGAGAGGATAGCGTACTTTCAAATTGTCTTGATTTGTAGCAGTAAGTATTTCTTAATTTACTAAAAAAAAGGACTTGCTTAAGGTATTTACCTTTAGCTCTGCTCCACATCGATGGTGCTTCGATAATAGACAGTTTAAAGCTTCGCCTGTTTCAAGCTCTCTCAAAGGCTGGCTTTGCTGTCAAAGCGGCTTCCATGACGGGCGAGAATATTGGCGAAGCAATGAAGAACCTGAGCAATGTGCCCCTTGGCATTGGAATGATGATCAACGCTCTGTTCGCGAGTGGAGCTACGGAAGAGAAGCCCCCAGATGATGATCCAGACTGCGAAAAGGGAGGACTACCGTGTAAAGTCATGTCTATTTTTGGCTAAAATTAATGCTTCAATGAATGTAAAATATCTTAAACGGAAGGATTAAGTTGCTCTATATTGAAATGCAAATTAGTTGGAAAGAAAGTACTTTGAGGACCATCTAGTGGTCTGAAAGACATCCAACCGAACCGTGTTCCGCGGGTATTCCAGGCAGAAAAACAACGCAATACCAAACCAAATAACCACAGAAAGGAATAGAGAAAGATATGGATATTTCGATTTACAGAAGAAGGGAGGCCCTGGAAAACCTCTTTTTAACGTTTAGTTACACTCCAGTCTTAGTAACTTGAGCTAACTTAATGGAAAGAGAGTTTAAAAGATGTAAAAATTCACCGATTAGCAGCATCACACCATCGTAAGTTGCAGTTGTTGCTGCTGCAGGATAGAGCCTGGTCCTGGGCCTGGGCCTGGGCCTGGGCCACACCCCATGCCTATTGCATGCCACACAGAGGAAAGGACATGCATCCCATTCCGCATGGCGTTGACCCATGGAGGTTAATCATGCAGCGATGTTACGCGCTAATACCTTCATGTGAGCTGGACCACGTGCTGGGCGGCGGGCGTGTTCCTCCTTACTCCTCTGCCGCTCCTCCTGCACTCCAATCCTGCCACTTCACTCTCCCGTTGCGTGTCTAACGCTGTTTGCCCACCATTCAGTGAGTGGGTGGGTGAATGGATGGATGGATGGGTGGGTGGGGAGTGAGGCTGTGCCACGGGGTTGCTCTACTCTAATGCCAGTGCCGTTTTCGAGGCTGTCTCCTGGTCGTTGCTGCTGCTGCTGCTGCCACTGTGCACCCGTAAAATTGATTGCGGCGAAAGCTGGAAAGTTGCACGTTATGCTCGTGGCCTGACTTGGTATCTGTTCTCGGTCTGGTTCCGGGTACTGCTTTCTGCTGTGTGGCATGGTGTGGTATAGCAGCATAAAGTAGGGAGTGGCATGAACGATAGTGGCTGGGCTCTTTCGCGTAGACGATGTGCCCTGCTCTGCTGCTTGTTTCCATGGCTGAAATGTGATTTTGTGCAGCAACCAAAGCGAGTTTCTGGGGGAGAAAGCTTCATTCTCTTTGGAAAACCATTTACCCCGTTTTCGTACATGGCTAATGCATGGCAATTTTTGCATTAAGGGCGTGGCGAATATCTGTAAAAGCATAAACAATTTATAAGGAAAGTCAGGAACTGAAAAGAAGACCTATTCTGGCTGTAACTTAACGCCGAAATACTCCACTGGAATGTAATAATCTTTACGCCTTTCCGCGTAGTACCTGTGGCTCTCAAACCCCATGTCGGGTGTCATAGATTACAAGGCATATAAATGTTTTGTGTCGCCTCGGGGGCATCTCACGCTCCACTAGGCGTATGGGAACATTTCTAGCCGCACAAAACTCTCGAAAATTACCATGCGGCCATCAATCCCTTACAGGATCCCAGGATCCCAGGCTACCGGATGGACAAGTGCCACAATTCACATCATCAAGATTGCGTGGAATGCTTGTACTCTCACACACACACACGCACAGACGCACACATGGAATATATAGAAACCATAACCCATATCACACTTCGGATAACATATCCATCCTTCACACATCCAATATGCAAGGCCCACCTTTTTGGCCATGGCTAATTCGCATGTCATGCGATGATGATGACGATGAAGAGCGTTTATTCGTTCGACAATGACGATGATATAGAGAGTGGGTTTGGGGAATGAACCTAACCCTTTTTCCTTTCTCTGTGTGTGTCTGTGCATAGCAATGTGTCTATAAAAAACAATGACGGACATTTGGGGGATTTCTTGGGCATAGAATAATAGTACATCAACACACAATTTTACAGGACAGGCAACGGAGAAATAAAATCATTTACGCAACAACGATACCGGCCAGACCAGACCCCAAAAATGAAAGGCAAGAAAAGGCGATAAGGAAAAGAAAAAAGCTTCTACAGATAAGGGGAATAATGAATGCTCTTTCTGGTCTGGTTTTGGGGACGATATAGAGGAGAATGGAATACAATGGGAGAACCAAATAACTTTTATGAATTCATCGATGAACTAAAAAAATAGTACATGAATAGTCGGGGCCAATCGATGACTTCAAATACATTGATAATCGATGACACTTTAAAAAATCTATCGATGACTTAAACAGTAATCGATTGCATACAAAAAGTAGTAGGAAAAGTATCGAATCTCTGCTAAACGATCATGTTCGATTATGAACAGCGTAGAAAAAGCGTTGATCGCTTTAAAAAACCAATTAACTAATATTTCCATGCCCATTTAAAGGGTATACTCCCACAACAGGACTACTTCTACTAGAAGAAGACAACGCTAAGCGGATGTAGCACGCTTATCCTTTTCCCACACGAACATCGAAACACACCCACACACACATAGCGAGAGAGAGAGAGAGAGGGAGAGACAGGGGGAAAGAGAGCAGGACAGTTGGCTGGGGCTTTGGTTTTATTCCTATTTTTTTTCTTTCTGCATTATTATTTTTATTTTATTTAAACCACACAAAATACTTAAGACGATTTTGTGTTCTGTTTTGTGGCCCAAGACGTATTGCCCATGGCCAAAACAGCAGCAGCAACGGCAACAACGGCAACAACGGCAACAACGGCAACAACAGCAACAAGAAAAGTGTGAAAAGAACAGGAGAAAACAAAATGAATGGTAAAAGTTTTTCCAATCCCAAAAAAAGAGAAAGAAAGGAACTAAAAAGGGTAATATGCAACATGTCCGAGTGGTCTGTGCGGCTGTCCGGCTGTCCCCTGTCCCCTGTCCACCCTGCCTCTCCCTTGAGCGGACAGCTGGAGGCGTTTGCATATGCAAAATACTCGTAAGACTTATTCCTTACCTTTTGCCAAAGACATTCGGCCCGAAGAAGAGGAAGGATGGAGGAGACAATGAAATGGGAAAGAGAGGCGATGATGGGACGTCCTTTGATGACAGGACAAGATGTTCAGCCACGGTGGGGCATCAATAATAGACACATAGCACATGTCCTTTGTCAAGGAATACCCTCAAAATATATGACACCCTTGACATCTCCATCTCGACGAACCCCTCCCCGCCCACTTCTTGGACAATCCTTGAATATCCTTCACAGGAATATGCGACAGCATACAAATTGAGGATTTTTATTTTCATTTCATTTGTGTGTTTTTTATGATTTACATTTTCCTTTCTTTTTTATGATTTACATTTCGTTTCGGTGTTTTTTTCCATGCAAAAATATTTTAGGTTCATTTTTTTACGAGTAATTTGGTTGGTTTTTTGTTTTCTGTTCGTTTTTCCTGCTCTGCAAATAGTGTGGCAGGCACTTAATTGTTTTAATTGCCTCGAATTTTCCGTATTTTCGCCATCTTTTTTCTCAGTTTTTGGTGTCCACTTTTTTGTGGACTGCTACTTCCATTAACACAATTTACTTTCGGCTTGTTGGGGTTACATTTTGGGCGGACCCTTGCTCTCTTATTTGTTTAGTTTTATGAAAAATTAGCATCATTTTTGTAGCAATTTATGAGGGGATGGGGTTATTTGAAGGTGGGATTGAACTTTTGGCATAGAAGTGGGGTTTTTCGATGGTTCTTACAAGATTAAAGAGATGTCTGGGTCTTTCTGGGTTGTAATTTATCCATATTTTCCTTAGGATCTAGTTTTCTTTATTATTTTTCGTTTCAGTCATCGTAATTTGGTTTATCGAAGCAGGCTGTGCCAAGGCCTTTTGATCGTTAGGAATATTTGAACACACGATTCATTTCAGTAAAAACCAGTGACTGGTTCGTATCGAAAGCTAAACTCTTTTTAAATTTAACCAAAATTAACCAAAACGATGAACAAATTACCCAAAATACCCGAGATTTCCGAGGACGTCAAGGAGCGTTTGGTGATTGCTCTCGCATACGTCGAGAAGACTATCCACTGGGGTTTTGTGCCCTTGGTGCTATATCTGGGTATGTCTTTGAGTAGAAATAGCTTTATTCTATCTAGCATTAATGGTTTCCCAATGAAATTCTAGGATACCGCAAGGGTGCAGAGCCAGGCATGCCGCCAATAACCCTAATGAGCATGTTGGGCTTCTAGAAACTGTCTCTAAGCTCAAGATACTTCCATACTATAAACCTTGAACCACGATCTAACTTACACACTTGCATGCACTGTTAAACACACTTCAAATTAGGATAAAATGCCCTTCAACCCATTTGGAAGGGCATTCAGTTCGTGAAAATAAAAAATGTAATATTCTTTATTGCAATAAGATCTTCAGGTGTGCCAACTGGGAATCTCTTTATGCTTTACTTTGTTCAGGTTTTGATCCAAAAGCATCATCTATGTGTTCTATACGTTTGACGGAACATCCTTAGCCATCTACTATCTATGGAAATATACAATCTTTGTTGAAAAAAGTTGTAGCCGATAATCATATTTTAACCCCATTTCACATCCAATCAAAATTCCCCTCTTCAATGAAATCGCCTTTAAATATTTATGTATTTCATATATTTAAATTTATTCAATTTCTCAATATGCATCTCTGTTTCTGCAGCGTGTTTTACATTCATTTCTAGTATTTATAAGGATTCTTTTCCAACTATTTTTTATTATTTTTCGTTTATTCTATATCTAATTTTTCTCGTTCCATCATTTTACAACATTTCAATGGGCAAAAATCAATTATACAGCGAGCCTTTTTTTTTTGGTATCTGTATCTATAAACAAAGCACACACACACATGGCGTAAATATATAAGGGACTTTTGTATATAAATAACTGAAACATCAGATATCCAGAGAGAGAGACTCGAAACAACAGTGGGAGCAGAACAGAACAGAAAAATACCGTAAATTGTGGACCCTACGGCAAAGTTATTTTTTCATTTTCATCATTTCGCGATTTCTAAACGTTCTTCGCGGGAAATGTAACGTCAAAACGCGGTTGCAAGAAAATACTGATACTGCAGCGGAGGTGGAAAAAAACAAGAGGAAATCGGGGAAAATGTGTGTGGGAGGGAGAATGTATGGAATGCCCCCAATGCTCACAGAAATGGATTTCAAATAATGATAACGGGTATACCCTTAGATAATGAGTCGCTAAAAATGGGTGGCATTTTTATAGGAAATCACAGCAAACCGTGTAGGATTCTAGGAATATCTTTCGAATACCACAAAGAAAGATGAATAATCAATAAAAAGATGACAAAATTCCAACATTTCGATGGGTAATGCAGTGAAAAAGATACGATATCTAACGAATAGAAAACTGAAGTTGTTCGTCCTTTGCAGATCGTTCTCATGTGACATTTAAATAACAGGAACTGAGAGAATAGGCCCGGCATGATCTGAGTCTGGATCTGTAAGCGAGAGGTGTCTATCGTTATAACGCGGTATAGAAAATTATTCTTTTTGTTCCATAATCTTTGGCTTAAACGAAATTTACTAACAATCTATAGGTTTTATTTTTTGATTTGGGAGCTTTTAATTGAAGTTTTTCTTAGTTTAATTGTACATTTTTCCATAAATTATATTAAACAAGCACTAATACATGATATTTTATAGTTATAATTGTTACACTTATTATACAGAAATTCTAGTTTTAATTATAAATCAGTTAACATTAATAGCATTCCCATTGAGGGATCGATCCTTCATTCCCTTGACTGCAGCCAAAAGGCATAACAAAGTCTCCATTACTCTTCCTTCAAAGAGTATATGTATTCGAAAGCCAAAACGCGAAAAAGGTAAAAACATTTGCCACAAAGTGGAAGAAGGAGCAGCAGGAGTTGCGGAGTGAGTAAGGAGGAAACGAATGGCAGGACGAATGGTTGGAATTCCTGGTCCCTGGTCCTTTCTGCCAGGTTGAAATAACATGAGAAATTTTTAGAAAACCAACGACAAAACGTCGAATGAAAGATAAATAAAGACCATGTCACACAGAGGGACTCCAAAAAGAGACCAAAACGATGGCCGAAAAAGATGGAAATAAAATAAAAATATTAGGAATAAAAATGCCAACGGAAAAAGCGTTAGAAATGAAAGTAAAAGAAAAGCTGAAAATTTTCGCGTAGCTATAAATCAACGTAGAAAATGGTAGGAGAAATGGCAGCTGGAGGCGTGGACATCCGTGCAAATGGATGTGGCAGATAGCGGGATAGGAGAGGGGGCGTGGCATGTACCTATCGTATATATATGTGTGTATGTATATATTTCTATTACATGGTCCTTGTGGCTCCTCTCGTCCTGTGAAATGTCACAGCTGCTTGCAACGGAGGAGTCGACGAGTTAGTATAATTTTTTTTGCCACACACAATTTTTCCACCATTTTCTCTTGCATCTCACTTGCCGTTTCCCTTCTTCTTTTTTTTTTTTGAGAGTAGAAATATTTTTGCAAGTGACGGGAAAAATTGTTGCCCCCGAAAATCGATTTTGATTACATTTTTTGATAGGGCGGCATCGCAACGCCTTGAACCCCTCACTTTTCGTGGACCACTTGGGCGGGCTCCATGGTGTACATATCCCGCAGGAGTCGTGCTATGGGGACATTTCCGATCGTTTCCTTGAAGAACAGTGCCTCGATGGTCGAGGCCCGGATGGTCCTTAGCGAGGGCAGCAGCAGCAGGAGCCGGCCAAAGCGTGTGGCCTGCCGCGAGTAGCGGAGCCTCACATGGTCCGAGAGGATGCACTGGGCCTGATCCTGCAGCATTTCCACGGGCTGCACGTCGCAAAGGCCCGCCGTTTCGGGGGCAAACAGAGCGATGGCCTTCATGCAGCCCACTTCGCTGCCATCGGGGGTGATCTGGCGGAAGCGGCAGAGGATCTCCTGAATGGTTTTCATCTCCGTTTGGGTGGCTTCGTCCTGCAGGACGCGCTCCTTGATCAAAGGAGACTCCAGTATAGGTGTGAGGTCCAAGGGAATGGTCCATTGAGCGAGATTCAAGAGGAACAGCTCTTTCCAGGATTCCTGAAAGCGAAAGGCTGAATGAAAAAGGGATTTATGAAGATTCAAGGAGTGCTTTTACCTGCAGTAGCAGATGTTGATCATTCTTGGAAAGCGTCTGGAAGGGCATCAGGCACTTGACCCATCGAACGGCCATGAACAGCAGGCGGGCCGTCGTCTCCTGCAGCATTTCCCAGGAGAGCAGACGCGAATCCAGGAGCTGCTGTGGCAGTGGCGGTGGAAACAGCAGCGTATTATGCTGCACTTGATACTGGATGAGCTCCTGGCACTTGTCGGGGCTCAGGAGCAGTTCCAGGAAGCCGTTCGAGGCGGCAGCAGAGGCCGCCGATGGGTGGCAAGGACGCAGCCCAATCGTTGGCGGATGCGCAGGATGTGGTGGCGGCGTGGGCGTCGTGGGTGTGGGAGAACCCGATGTAAAACTAGATAGTTTTTGCTCGCCATTCAGGCTGCTGCTCCCCTGATGGTGATGGTGATTATTGTGGATGCTGTGCATCAGCAGAGACGCATGACTCGGTGGCGTTGTGGCGCCGCTCAAACTATGCTGCGATGTCTGTCGTGGGGGATGGTGCTGTGGCGAGCCCTGAGAGTCCGTCAGCGTCGGAGCAGGGGAAATGCTACCCGCACTCAAGGGAGGCGATGCCGATGGCGAGGGTGTCTCCGTCTCCACATTGACACGTGGACTTTCGCTGCCGCCCACGCTCCTCGAGCCAATGCTGGAGATCGATTGAATCGAGTTGCTGGGCGAGGGCGAAGAGTAGTTGTTGTTGACGGTGGCCCCTTGCAAGGGACCATAGGGGGAGGCGGCGGCAGCCGTGGTGGTGGAGGAGACGACGGCTGCCACTGCGGTGGCCGTGGCCGCTGTAATCCCCGGCAGTTTGCTGGCCGCCTCCGCAATCAGATTGTGATGCAGCAGGTGCGTGGGGAAGCCCGTACCAGAGCCGCCACCATTCTGTGGCACCAGAGAGTGGTGTCCCGGATGGTGGAAGGCCGTAGGATGTGGCTGCTGTTGGTGTGGGGGTGCCCCCACCGCCTGCTGTTGCTGTTGCTGCTGATGGAATCCCTGAGGATTCGTTGGAGGAACTGGTGGGACCGGCGGATGCGTAGATATGTGCTGCGTGTAGTTGAAAGATGCCGACACATTCGTCACCAGCGACACGGGCAGGTGTCCCCCGGCGGTGGCATGATGATGATGGTGCAATCCCGCCGCTGCTGCAGCAGCCGCTGCCGCGTGATGTGCTGCCGCCGCATGGGCATGGGCATGGTGATGATGATGATGGTGATGATGTGCAGCGGCATGATGGGCAGCGGCTGCTGCAGCCGCCGCGTGATGATGATGGTGGTGCAACTGCGGATGCAGCTTGGGTTTCCGAGGACCACGCTCGTGTTGAACGGCTGTAAGAAGAGAGAGAGAGAGAGAGAGAGGGGTCTTAGATCTGTTTCAAGATTCGAAAAAGAATGGGCATTTATCAATTTAGGGTGCCCCTGTTTAGACGTTATAACAAAAAGAATATAAAATACTATCAATAATACCAGAAAAAAAATAATACGAAGAAAATACTAGACATAATATAAAGAAAATACTAGAGATAATACCAAGATAATTTTTGAAATAAAACCAAGAAAATACCAGAAATTATTCCAAAAAAATACTAGAAATGATTCCAAAAAAATATTAAAAATAGAACCAAGAAAATATTAGAAATAATACCAAGAAAATCATATTACTAACACTAAAAATAGAAGAAAATAATAGAAAGAATACCAGAAAATAGTAGAAATAATACCAAGAAAATATTAAAAATATAACCAAACAAATAATAAAAGTAATGTACAGAAAATACTAGAAATAATACCAAGAAACTTTGAGCAACAATAACGATTAAGAAAATCCTAGAAGTAATACCATTAAAAAGACTAGAAATAGGAAGAAAGTAATCGGTTTTTGATACATTTGAAATATACAATTGCATATCTTAGGGATAGCTTAGGGTATCTTTAAACGTAATAAACCATCTAATATTCCAAGTCAAGTTCTACGAAGGGTTTTTCCTTTCTCAATCTTCTTTGTACTTATTTTTGGATGATTTCCCTCTGATTTCCATGCCACTGTATTTGCATCATCCCCATCTCCATCTTTTGTTTTCCCATGAAAATCAGTTCAAGTGTATAATTTCCACTAATCTGTCGTTAAGTATTTAAATAAATAAATGTTAATTTCCAAAGATACTTTCGCCAGATACTTTTTCCATGATTTCTTTGAAGTGTTGGGCCCCCCAAGAAAAAGGTTCGACTTTCTATCTCTCTGTGTGGCCTTTGCAAATAAATTGGGAGGTTGGGGGCATGGAATGGGATACAAAGACATAATAAACCGATTATTAAAATGCTAAAGATGCAAAGATACAAAGATACAGACAGGCCGTCCTTTGCCTTCTGGTCGTGTGAACTGTTGCATATGCCACAAGTTGAACCTTGAATCTGAATCTCTTATGAGGGGGGAGCAGGGGATATATCATGTGTGTGCCTTGCGCTGTCATGACTTTTATTTGTTTGTAATTAAATGTATCTATAGATACTGCCACCGCCACCGCCACTGCTGCTGATGCTGCTATGTGGACGTGTATGGCCATGACATGGCGCAAACGGGGGTGACATTTTAATCCTCCAGGATAATCGCATATGTGATGTGCCTTCCGCTGTAAAATGACTGCAGCCACTTGAATGTATCTCAAAGCCCCTTACCCCCACCTCGATGGTGTGGCAGGCAGTGCCCTCCCATTTTCATGCCACTTAAAACTAGCGCGCGAAAAAAGTCTCAAAGCTTTCAAAAGATCACAAATTTCAATTAAAGAAAATGCCAAACTCATCAAATTTTTATTTGCTGCGGGTTTTAGCGACAGAAAAAACTTCTGCAATGGCTCTTCCGATTTTCCCTCCTTTTCCTTTTCCAGGCGGGAACTTGGGAATTTTTTGTGGTTCAGCAAAAGATAAAAAACGAGGAAACCAGGAGCTGACTTTGAATACCCTTTAGGTGGCATATTTTTATTATATTATCTTTGAAAATGTTTCCTCTGCAAAAGAATATGTTTTTCTGCAGAAATCCTTCCAGTCTTCTTCGAAATACTTTGACACTCCCACATCTCCTCAACATCAGTATTCCCTCTTCCAAAGGGTATACAAAAAGACTGAAGAAAAGAAGAAGAAAAATACCCCCCAAAAATGTAGCTCAAACTTCAACTTTAACCCTTTTTTTCCGTGACTCCATCCGCGACCGTCTCTTCCTCGCTGTCCCTGTCCTTTGCCCCTGCCCTGGCTTATTTCCTCGGGGGCGTGGCAAACAAAGAAACGTGTGAAAAAGGCAACAAAATTAGCTGCCATGAGCACAAAAAAAGAAATTACAATTTATCCTTTTTTCCCTGCACTTTTCTTCTTGATTTTCTGCAGCTTTCTTTTTGTTGGAAGCGACGCCATTTTTTACTTGGTGGAAAACTTTGTTTGTTGGAAAAAGCTGGGGAAACCAGAGGGATGTGGGCAAAGGGGACGAAGGAAAGCTGCAAAATGATTTACTTGCTAAAAAGTTATGATGATGGAAAATGCAAAAGTCGTGTCTCTGCGTTGAATGATAAAGAGGAAAAGCCCCTGCGGCGGTTTTTCTATTTGTTAAAAATGCTTTAAGGAACTGAAGTTTGAAAGAGAGTTAATTAAAGGAAAACCACTCGGTAATCCCCAGGAATTATGGGGGAACTATGCAAGGAAAATCGAGGAATATATCTATAAAGATAAAGATAAAATATTATTCGAAAATGTGTAAAGACATCCCTTTGAGATATCTAAAGAAGTTGGGTTGGTTACTTGGGACTCAGTTGCCGTTTCGGGCGTTTATTTTGATCCCCCTATGAATATGAAATCTAATTAACACTTGACTTATAAGCTCTACAGGGATTCCACACTCCAAGGACTTCTAGCCGCCTTACAACCCCCCTGCAACACCACTTCAACCACAAAAATAAACACCTGGAAAGACTCCCAAGAATCTCTCTTTCCTGCCGAAATGTGTTACAAAAAGTTACGCCCCTTTGGCGAAAAGAATTACCAATCTACAAATCTAATTAGCAACTCATTACGTGGGCCACAGCCACCCCAAAGAAAAACCCGGAAAACATACAGATACAGAGATACACAGAAAAAAGAACAAACATATTGACCGATTTGCTGAAGCTAATCAATTAATTAGGGCAGAGAGAGAGAAGAGCAAGAGGGAGGCAGAGGGACACAGACCAAGCAAAAACAATTATGTCAAAATATAGAGAGAACGAAAACAGAGGAAAAGAGGGGGAAAAGCACCAGGAAAAGGACTCAGGGATGAGGGCAGAGCAACAGAAACAGAAACAGAAACAGACACTCAGACAAAGGCAGAATGGATGTCAGAATGCCAGAAAAATGCCAGGGCAAACGGAAAAAGCGGTAGAAAAATTAATGATAAGTGGCAGTGGAAGAGCGAGCCGTGCCGGGCCGGGCCGAGCCGGATGTTCTACAGCTGTAGCTATTCCCAGGACCAGGACCAGGAACGGAACCCAGAGGACGACTTCACGGCACGCAAAAATTTCCCAATTAATGATGATGATCATCACCAGAGAAACACTCTCCTGGTGGGGGCGGATGGAATGTCCTTCTGTAAGCTGAAAAGCGCAAAGCGTGCCCCAGAAATCGAAATAAATAAATCGGTAAACGATAATGAGAGAGAGAGAAAGACCTTTACTTTTATATGCGGGATATACAGAGACAGACACTCATCGTACTGCGCCTCCACAAAAGATACATTTTCCTTCTCTACCGAGAGATACCTTCCTCCCTCCGCCACAGATAATGTCGTAATAAAAACTCGACCCACAATAAGAGAAATGTATCAAAATTTTTCGACGAATGTTTGGCAGGCAAATTAAAAGTAAATAAGGCAACGTTTCGTTTGCAAAAACCATTCGGAGAAGAGGGGAAACAAACGACAGTGAAAACCGAAAATAAAATAAAAAGAAATATAAACCGTGAAATTAGGAAAACACTTGAAGTGATTCGATGCGCTTTCCCTGCCGGATGAGGTCTACGAGTGCGAGTCTTGCCCCTGCGGATGAGTTCTGAATGGTACGAGTATATGGTACGGGAAGTGCCCCTGCGGCTGAGTACTGAACGGTGTATGTTCAAGGGGTGTTTACATTTATCCACTGATTCGCACTGGAGGGTTGGACAGGGACTTGTACGAAGCAGCGTAATGGTCCATAATGGCCACAATTTGTGTCAGCTCAATTCTCGATTCTCTCGGTGGCTGTCCGGGCAGTCAACCGTTGAATTGTCGGGGCGGGACAATGGTTTATGAATAGAACGATTGTTAAGTAGTTATCTCCGGTAACAAAGGATTCCAGAGGGGACAGCCATATAGGATTTATGTATTCATGTTGATACTCATAAAAAGGTGATCTTTCCACATTGATAAACTTGATTGAATCTCAAAAATTATAGTTATAAGCCGTTGTGGGCGGATCATTTCAGTAGATGAGCAATCTAACAAATAACTTTTACTAAGTAGAATGTGCCTTTTTTTTAGGTATTTTTCGGGTATTATTTCAAAAATTTTCTTGTTTAATTTGTAGTAATTCTTCTTGCTATTCATTTTAATATTTCTAATATCCGTCTGGTATTTTCTCGTTATTTCTTCTAATATTTTCTAAATAATCAGTTTAGTAATTGTTTGGTATTATTTATAGTCTTTATCAGGTATTTATTTATTCTAGCATCATTTCTAGTATTTCTGTTATTATTTCTGATATTTTCTTGGTATTATTCATACGATTTTCTTGGTATTATTTGTAGTATATTTTTGGTAACACATCCAATAAGGAAAAGATTGTGCATTATTTATGTACGGTCATTATTTCTCGACTGTTAAGGTTCAACCTCTAAAATTGGTGTACCTTGTGCAAATGTATCTACCATATGTATGTATAATGATCGTAGGCTAAGTACAAAAATCATAATATATAATTTAAAGGATTAGGGATTTCCTTCTTTTTTTTTGAGTAACTGGTGTTTCTTCAAATATGGCTTTATAGAATATTTGAACTTCATATTTAACGCTTTGTTTCGTTCCTATTTCTTCAATGATCGTTGTATCAATCATTTAATCGCTTATAACTTTCTCCTTGTATAATTTAATTTTAATTCAAATTAAACCTTAAATTTTGTTATATTTTATAGATATACGATATGTACGCCACCTGTCTGCACCCGTCCCGCAGTTTTGCAGAGAGGCCAAGGGCTTCTATGCCTCCTCTCTGACTCTTGTGTCAGGGCCATCAGTGCACGCCCTGGACGGATGGATGGGAAGCTGCACCCAAAAGAGT